CTCACGCTCTCGTGAACCCACCGACCAGATTTGTGGTGGAAACTGATTTCACCTTCCTCTCATTGTTTTCTCACCGTGAGATAACTCTACTAGCAGGGAACAACCGAGGTATAGCTTTCGCGGCAAAGTTTTTGAGTTTTCTTTTTTTTTTTTTGGCGTGTCTTTAAAGTCACCTCGGTAAGAACCAGTGCCAACATCATTTGGCAGGGCGCCCTGCTTATCGGATATATCTTTAAATTATTGGGATAAAAGTAGGAATATATAATTTCCTTGCTCTCATGCAGGTCTTCGTTAGTGTTAATAGTCAATGGGCAAATAACAACAGAGAAATCACACTTTTTTAGAAACAAATATAAGTTCAAGTTAGCCATGGCAAGGACATAATCACTGCAAGAAGACTTGGCACGAAAGCTATGAGGAAAAGGTGGACTCGCCTGCACCGCTGATGAAACTAGCGCATTTTTTTTTTTTTTGGATGATCCGTGTGGTAAATGACATTGCGAACTGAGCTATGAACTAGGAACATTGGAACTGCGAGTTTTGTGATAATTCGGGTAGTGTATATGTAGTGAGATTTGTCCTTATATAAGAGCCTGCAATCCTCGTGGTTGTAGTTTTACCGCCATGTTGCATGGAATGAGATTTGGTGATTAAAGCCTGATTTTTCCGGCAAACGTCTTCCTTAGTTCACTACAATTTAATCACCAAATCTCATTCCATGCAACATGGCGGTAAAACTACAACCACGAGGATTGCAGGCTCTTATATAAGGACAAATCTCACTACATATACACTACACGAATTATCACGAAACTCGCAGTTCGAATGTTCCTAGTTCATAGCTCAGTTCGCAATGTCATTTACCACATTCACCCTGTCCTTAAAGATTGAGTCTAACTACTGGACGACGAATTCGTTGGGAGCCACGAACAGGTGCAGGTTCCACATTCCGTGCAGGTGTAAGTTCAGGTTGAGGTTCAGGTGGAGGTTCAGGCGCAGACGATGGTTCTGCATCAAGCGAAACACCCACAGATATGTCAACTGGCAGGTTCTCTGCTTCCACGGGAATACATTCTGGTGCTGGCTGGGTCTCAACAACTTGGCCCTTCGGCGCAAGGTGCTTCGTGGCTACTGTTGTAGCCACAACAGGTTTGGAAGTCAAAGCCCTATTTGACAGTGGTAGCACTGAAAGTTTTATTCATCCAAGGTTGGTGGAGAAGGCCGCTCTCACCATTCATCCTTCATCTGGTACAGTATCCATGGCTACCTCAGTGTCTAGTACAGTCAGTATCACTGGTACGTGTACCGCTAACCTCACCTACCAAGGACGTGAATATGCAGGTTACTGTCTTTCCGTCTTGCCTGGACTTTGTGCTGACCTAATCCTTGGTCTTGATTTCCAATCCCAGCATTCGAGTGTCACTTTCCATTACGGGGGCTCCGAACCACCTTTGGCCATCTGTGGTTTTAGTATGTTGAATATAGATCCACCTGAGCCGTTTGCGAATCTGGCGTCAAACTGCCATCCAATTGCCTCGAAGTCTCGAAGATATAGTCGGGAGGATTCCGCCTTTATTGATGAAGAAGTGAAACGACTACTCAAAGAAGGCATCATACAGCCGAGCCTTTCACCATGGCGTGCTCAGGTCGTTGTGACTAAGGATGAAAATCACAGGAAGAGGCTAGCAATTGACTACTCGCAAACAATTAACCGATTCACACTTCTAGATGCTTTCCCATTGCCCAGAATAACCGACATGGTCAACAAGATCGCCCAGTACAGAGTCTTCAGCACCATTGATCTTCGAAGTGCGTATCATCAAGTGCCGCTCAAGGAAGAAGACAAGCCTTACACAGCCTTTGAAGCTCGAGGCAACCTCTATCAGTTCACTCGCCTGCCCTTCGGGGTCACCAATGGGGTAGCCTGTTTTCAGAGAGAGATGATGAAGTTTGTAGATGAGAATGGTCTTGAGGCGAACTTCCCCTACCTTGACAACGTTACTATTTGCGGCAAGGACCAAGAGGATCATGACGCTAACTTGAAACAGTTCCTTGAAGCTGCTAAACGCAAGAACCTCTGTTATAACACTGAAAAGTGTATTTTCTCAACCCGCTGCCTTCCCATCTTTGGATACATCATCGAAGAGGGTACCATACGGCCAGATCCTGATCGTTTACGACCCCTAAGGTCCATGAGCAGGTGTCTCGGATTATTCTCCTATTATTCACAATGGATCCCAAAGTTCTCGGATCGAATCAAGCCAATTGCCTCTTGCAAGACATTCCCTTTGCCCCCACCAGCTGTTGAAGCATTCGAGAGCCTCAAGAAGACGATAGAAGACGCTGTTGTCACTGCTATTGACGAGACTATTCCCTTTGAGGTTGAAACCGATGCTTCCGAGGTAGCATTAGCGGCCACTCTTAACCAGAATGGAAAACCTGTTGCCTTCTTCTCACGAACTCTTCAAGGCAGTGAACTGAAGCATGCATCCATAGAGAAGGAGGCCCAGGCCATAATAGAAGCGGTGAGGCATTGGAGACATTTCCTTGCTGGAAGGCACTTCATCCTGAAAACTGACCAGAAATCAGTGTCTTACATGTTCGACAAGCAACACCGAGGGAAGATAAAGAACGAGAAATTCCTGCGTTGGAGACTGGAACTCTCCTGCTTCAGCTTTGATATCGTCTATCGGCCAGGTAGAGATAATGTCCCAGCAGATACACTATCCAGGGCTATGTGTGCCATGGCCACTGAAGATTCCCTCTTCAAGCTTCATGAGGTTCTCTGCCATCCAGGCATCACCAGACTAAATCACTTCGTGAGAACCAAGAACTTACCTTACTCCCTTGAGGAGATTAAGAAGATGACAAGCCGGTGCCCTGTATGCTGTGAATGCAGACCTCAGTTCCATCGCCCAGAGAAGGTTCCCCTTATCAAAGCCACTCAGCCATTCGAGAGAATCAACATCGATTTCAAAGGCCCCCTTCCCACTAATAACGGAAACAAGTACTTCCTTATGGTTGTGGATGAGTACTCCAGGTTCCCGTTTGTTTTCCCATGCCCTGATGTGTCTACGAACACAGTTATTAAGTGCCTTACATCGCTGTTCTCACTTGTTGGAATGCCAGCATATGTCCATTCAGACCGCGGAGCTTCATTTATGAGCAGAGAGTTGCGCGAATTCCTGACTTCGAAAGGGGTGGCTTCAAGTCGAACTACCAGTTACAACCCAGAAGGAAATGGTCAAGCGGAGAGATGCAATGGTGTGATATGGAAAGCAGTTACTATGAGTTTGAAATCCAAGAACCTACCTCTCAGGAACTGGCAAGATGTCCTTCCGGATGTGCTACACTCCGTCCGCTCTCTTTTGTGTACTGCCACCAATGAAACTCCACATGAGCGATTCTTTGGTTTCTCACGCCGATCGTCCGCTGGCGCCTCCATTCCTACCTGGCTAGCGACACCTGGGCCACTGTACATGAAACGTCAGGTACGCACAAGCAAGATGGACCCTCTGGTGGAAGAGGTGGAACTACTCCAAGCAAACCCTCACTACGCGCATGTGCGTTATCCTGATGGTAGGGAGACAACAGTAGCCACGAAGCACCTTGCGCCGAAGGGCCAAGTTGTTGAGACCCAGCCAGCACCAGAATGTATTCCCGTGGAAGCAGAGAACTTGCCAGTTGACACATCTGTGGGTGTTTCGCTTGATGCAGAACCATCGTCTGCGCCTGAACCTCCACCTGAACCTCAACCTGAACTTACACCTGCACGGAATGTGGAACCTGCACCTGTTCGTCGCTCCCAACGAATTCGTCGTCCAGTAGTTAGACTCAATCTTTAAGGACAGGGTGAATGTGGTAAATGACATTGCGAACTGAGCTATGAACTAGGAACATTCGAACTGCGAGTTTTGTGATAATTCGTGTAGTGTATATGTAGTGAGATTTGTCCTTATATAAGAGCCTGCAATCCTCGTGGTTGTAGTTTTACCGCCATGTTGCATGGAATGAGATTTGGTGATTAAAGCCTGATTTTTCCGGCAAACGTCTTCCTTAGTTCACTACAATCCGGATCAGGATCAGTGATCTGAGATCACTCAGATTACAGTACAGGAACCGATGAATGCACCCTGGACAAGGATTCATCAATTCCTCTAGTTGACGTACAGTTGAAGCCTACTCTTCGGATTCTTCAATACGGTAGAACATCGTATAACTCGAACTCCCCGCTCACTCGAACTAAATTTCCTTTCCTTCTACTGTATTACCAGGACAGCTTTCTTTACCTCTGGGGATAGCCCTTACATTTTTTCTTAATTCAACCTGCAATTTGAACCGCGGCAGGATTAGTTCAGTCGGTAGAGCGCTTGAATGCAGAGCGGGAGGTCGCGGGTTCGATTCCCTTGGTCGCACGAATACTCAGGGTCTTAAAATAACTGAGAAATGAAGGCACTTCCTTTGCCCTGCAAACGGCTAGACCTTCGCGTGGCTCGGATGATCACGTAAAATGGCGGTCCCGTCTCCAATTGGAGACGTAAAAATAGTGTCCTCAATTAGTACTTTCGATGCTAAATACATTGACTTTCAAATAAAGTCTTTTTTTTTTGCTTAATACGGACACCTGTTAATGCGGACGTTGTGAACAGGTCGTTTCGCTAGAAAGTTGATTCGCCCCGGAGGTACGTCAATCCGCCAGATGTTTATTTGTCGTTTTTTAAGCCTGATAAGACGAATTCAAGTGAGAAGAAAGTGGTTGCACATGTGGGTCAACAGATTTTCAAGTGAAAACTTGAGACATAGACGTAGCGAGCGCTGAAGCGCATGAAGACTTCAGTTTTCGACGAATATTCGTTTCCCGAATGTGATTATCAAGATCGCTAAGATCGTCCAGATTGCTGGACCCTTTTCAGCACTAAATCAGGAAAGAAATTCAAGCTTAAGTCAAAGACATTTCTGATATTAAGCTGTGTTGTAGTCTGAAGAGTGTTGAACATTTGTCATCGGGTGAATCGAGTTCCGTCAGGGCGAAACGACGGACAACGGAAACTTGTTTCTTGTCCAATCAACAGATTCACTGAAGTCAACCTCGCTAATGGAACGCGGACAGGTGACAACAAGTAAATTTCCCAGCGCTACAGATGAATTGTTAACGTCAATTTCAGACTCTGTTTGCATCAAACGAGTTATGAAGAGAACGGTTTTTGATTAAGTAATGCCATATAAATGAGCGACTTTTGAGTGTTTCCGTGGACACAGTCCTTCACGGCTTTGTGAAGGTTAGAGACGTTTAATTTTACGATGGTAATGATCTGTTTTATTTCTTTAGTATTTTGTTTCAAAAAGGGGTATTTTGACCTACATAACAAGAACCGTTTTTAAACACGGACACTCCAATAATACGAACACTTTCCAAGGCCCACCCCCTCCCTCCTCAGTGAAAGTACTAGTATCCAGCCACTTTGTTCCATGATCGTTCCAAGCCAGATCGTTCCACTTAATGGTTAGATCGTTCCATAATACAGTCAGAACTTACAGAAACAAGGGCATTACTCATGTGTGTATGCCGAGTTTGACTGTACAGATCTGAGTGATTTCAGATCAGTTCCTTATCCGGATCATTCCATAGGAACGCAACAAGCCTTAAGTCTCCCTTTTCGATGACCTTAACGCTTCACAGAAAATAGTAAAAAACAAAAACAACAACAACAACAACCAAACAGACAAAAGGCAAAGGGAAACCGCACTTTAAGAATATAAAATTTGCAGACGTTCCGGCGGTGCATGAGCCAGTGCTCAAGGGGGGGCGGGGCTTGAAATATTGCATGGGACCTCCAGATTTCAAGTGCAGCACTCTGAATCTCTCGAGCCACGCAGGCAACAGACTTTTCTACTGAAAATGTCAGTAGCCTGTACAACAGGGGACGATCAGGCAGGTTTGGCGGCTCCCAAAAGCCGCCTTCATTAACGCCTGTTTTGAGCAGTATACCTTTTCAGCACTTCGGGTCCATGTAGGCGAAATGGCGGTCCTGATTTTCAGTAATGCTAATAATATCATCTCTCTAGCCTGCGAAGCCGGCGGGATCGTTAGCGCGAGCAAAGTTTTGTCAGAGAAGCTGCCAAGCTGTACGGAGAATGGGGATGAGACGCTTTCCACGGCGGCTCCGCCTCATATTTCTGTAACCTAGCCTGTTCCAGGCCCTCAGATAGTGAGGAAGACGCGAAAGTAAAAGGCACTCGAAAAGTTGGCAGGGCGAAAAAGAGGAAAAGGAAGGCAGAAGGGAAGTTTCCTTCTGTTTTATTTTCGTCTTCGCGCTTTCTCAATTTTAGCGGGCCCGACTATCTCGGAGCCTGGCTGTTTTGCAGTCCGTCTAAAAGAAAGCTTACATATCGATCAACGCTATTGATTTTCAACTTTAAGCATGAGCTTTATTACATGGTTCGTAGTAACCGTACAACTTCAGATAAACAAATTTCATGCAAGGACTTTTCAAGGATTTTTCAAGGAAAAAGTACACTTTTCAAGGACTAAGATTTATTTAATAAATCAGCATTCTTTAACCCCCTTTGATCACCCTATTGGCTAAAACAGGTCATGGAGTCATTTACGAATTTTACTTCTTCGGCCATCGTTGATCACATTATTTTATACTACTTTCTGCAACAAGACTTTTCAAAATGACTGGGTATGACTTGCAATTATTGCATTCTACTTCTATACTGTAAATCCAGTGATTTTCCTTGGTAGAGGGTGGGGCACTAACTCAAACATTTAAAGTATGTATATATGTTGTAGTTAATTTTTTATCTCGGGTAATTTTTGTTTCCTTTGTTTCAACTTCATTAGCATACATTACCATACCCAAAAAACAAAACAAAAACAAAAATTACATGAGATAAAAAATTAACTACAACATATATATTAGCTTACACTCATTATTAAACAATACACAAGAAGTTTACCTCTGCTTAGCAACTACAGTTGACTTCTGATAACTCGAAATCGAATTAATCAGGAGTCAACTGTACTTTAATTTACATAGAGACTGACCTTCAGATATATCATTAAGGGCAGTTGTTTTGTAATTTACAAATAACATGAGACTAAGTCATTGTTGACAGTGAGATGTCAAGTCCAATGATTTTGACAATTTCCTTCCTTTTTGCCTTCTATGATTAGTATTTTCCTTTCTTTTTGCCTCTTCTAGTGGCTTTATGCAGTCTTGATTTCAAAATTTCAAAAGTCAAGAAGCTGAAAAATAAAGTTCACAAAAACGTAAGAAAACAAAATTAAATCACACTAACTTTAAACCACACTTAGTGCTTTTAAAACAAGGTTAAACCCAAAGACTAACCATTGTTAATGGAAACGTATCTGCCCATAAATTTATTCAAGTCATACTTCCAAATTATCTACTTGCTGCTATTAGATTTTGTCAGTACAACGATTTATTAATTATCTATTTCTTGGCATGTTTGCACAGCCTGATATAAACACTTGAGGGGTTGGGAGAATACTCGGCAATTATGCATACCCGAGACAAAGAAACGTTTTCTAATGCTTAAATAGTTCTCATATACAGTTCCTCTGTCATAACTGAAGTGAAGACCCAGCCTCATTCCCAGGCCTGTTCATGCTATCCAAGTCAGCAGAAGGGGAATTGGAACCAAGCATGATAGCGCGCTTGGTTCCAAGCCCCCTTGTGCTCACCAACATGAAGCTTGACAGGCGATGTCACATTCAAAATCACTGAGGATGACTGGGAACGAGGCTGGTGAAGCCCACGTACTACAACAACAAAATTCATTTCAGTACGTAATAAATTTGCAGGCAAAAGTTTCAAGGGATGCATACATTGAAGCATTACTGGGAAAAATTAATTACTGTCTGATGAGGCCATTTACAAGATAAGATGAAATTTAATGAGGAAGACTGACTTCGATGCACTTACCAGTTGTGGTAGGATTTTTTCCAAATGGTCAGTTTCTACAGTTGGTGAGGATTCAACCTAGAAAAAGAGCAAGAGTTCACGTTATTATCATCACTTTTCCTGTATGACCATTCTTCAGAAAGATTATAGATTATAGTTGTGTCCAGGATACAAACATTTTAATCTATAAATAGCCCTGATGGTTGTTGCCAGATGGGAAAAAGATTCTAAAAAAAAGGCTCAGATTTTTTTTCTGAACCAAAATTGATTAGAGTAAGTCTTCTTTTAAAAAAAAAAATACTGTCCAAGCAACAAAATATTTTGTCGTCATTAGCAACCTAAGATAAAAACAGGCACCTAGAATAGTTCTTGTTATTGCTTTAATAGGCATTTTCTGACTCTCCATAAGGCAGATGGCTCTCTATGATGGACACTTCATGTCAGTTCTAGTGGAAACCATGTCAGAAAGAGAATTTGTGTAACTATGTGCGTGTGAGTGAGTTGACTTTTTTTCACTTTTTTTCTGTTGAAGAGAAATACAGTAGAACTAGGTAACTTGAACTCTGTAAGGAAACAAAAAACAGTTCGAGTTAGAGCGAAATTTGAGGTCTTGGGGTAAATTTCAGCGTAATTTTGATCAAGGAAAGGGAAATTTTGTTTGAGTTAGCGGGGAATTCAGGGTTATCTGGGTTCAAGTTATCGAGGTTCTTCTGTAATAAACTTGTATAAAATTCAAAGAGGTTGGTCATCTATAAACTATTATACCTTAGCTTGCTGTGCTGCTCTCGCTGCACCCTCTTTCAAGAAAGAAAGAAAGAAGGAAATTAAAAAGTTTCTCAGTGGAGGTTTCTCAGTGCTATGGCAAAACAATCTCAAGCTATCAACTGAGGTGAAAAATCAAGAAGAAATAGCTGGCAATGTATATCATAACATAAAAAGGCTAATGAGTCTCATGAATCTGCTATTGTATCTCAGAATAAAAGCAACGTCCTCACTTGTAATGAGAAATAACTTTCTTGCTTACTAAAGATTCTCTTAGAAAGGTAATCTGGAAGGATAACATTATTTGCGTTGAAAAATAGTATATTTCCAATTTGTAGTTTAATCTGATTGTGGTCCAATTTGCAAAGTTCAACACATGACTGGATGCCATGTCCTTAGGTAAATTATAAATAATTTTTGAGGCCCTGCAGAGAACCTTGTGCACCCGCAACAAGTGCCCCACCTAGTCTCAAGTAATTTAGTCTCTGTGGGCAGACATAGATTAATGAGAATGAGTTGCAACAATAATATTTGATACCTGCAATAAAAATCCTAAGAAGTTCTGTCATCAGTTTTAAAGCATCACCATTGCCTATGTGAAAAAGGAAACTAATGCAGTTGATTTGACAAGAAGTCAAAATAAGCTAGGCTGTGGCCTTAAGTAAGCCAAAACCGTGTAGTAAAATTGGTCAGATGTTGGCAAATTTTCTTGGAGTTGAATTCTAAAGGACTGTATCAAAGTTCAGGAAATGAATAATAACGCTGTTGTCTTGTGTTCCCATCCTTGAAAAACGTGAAAAAAAGGCACTCTCATGTTGTAGTCATGCAACGACAGTTAACAAATGTTCAAAAAAGCATAATGCATGTGCAAAGTTGTTGTTTTGCCAATCTAAACCCATTGCTTTCTTGCCGTACCCTTTTGCCGTCGCCGTGATCATTGCTTAAGCACCCTATTGGCTCCTATAAGCAAAGCTAGAGACTGTAGATACAATAAAACCCCTTTTAATACGGACACTGAGGGGGGCACAGAAAGTGTTCTTCTCAACGGGGTGTCCGTAAAGTGGGGTTTGACCCCAGGGGGGGGGGGGTACTTGGGTTAATGTTTGCTGGGTATATGCCAGTAGCCTCTCAAAGCCCCAACCCTATCATAGTCTATTTTTTGGCCAACTATAGACCCCATGTTAGTCACTTTTTGGAAAATGTAATTTTTGCGATCCCAACTTCGTCACTTTCTATTTATACATCTACCTTATCAATGTGGTTTCAAGCGGCGGAATGTAATGCAGTCAATGTGAGCTTATTATTAAATTTTATAAACAACAACATTCTGATTTTTTAACCGAGAATCTTCCCATTTTGAATCCCTGCTCATCCCAAAAATTTGTGACCCCATTCTGGTAACTCTATTGAAAATACAACCCCATTATAGTCACTCCAGTCGTGAAACTGCAACTCCATCCAGCGGCATATCCCTTTTAGCCCCTTGTAAGGGAGTACCCCCCCCCCCCCACAGGGATTTGACTACTGTAAAAAATTATACTTCTTTAAATTTTATTTCCCTTTGTTTCAAACTCATTATAATAAATCATCATATCCAAAAGAGGAAATAAAATATATTTAAGCTCAGGATAAAATTGAACAACAGCAATAATCAACATGATCTTATAAATTGGTTCCCTAGTCACATCTGTAGGCATAGTTTATATGGCTGAGTGACCTCAGTCTACTCCAAGCTCGCCCATAAGTTGAACTTGATGTCTCACTCACATTTTGTTTTTTGCTTGTCACGAAAGAAATTAAGCAATAGCTTGTTAACAGTTTCCTGAAAAAAGAAAATCACAATGAGCTTACCCTACACTCTGCTGCGAATCTCTCAATTTAACAAAAAGTTCTCTTATTTTACGCGAAAAATTTAAAAAAATCATAGGATAAGAACTCTTTTTCTGTAATTTAAACAGGCAGTTTGAGTTTCGAGGACAAAATCTTATTCTATGATTTGTTTTAATTTTTTCCCCTGATTTAGACAGTGGTTTAGAGTGTTATACCGGCAAACAGAGGCGCCGGAATTGAAACGAGTGATGAAAAGCTTAAAGCAGCGGTTCTACGGTAACAATGACAGCTTTGAATACAAAGAAATAACACCAAAAGAAATTAAACTTACCGATTTAAACGTTGGATTATCCATTACTGTAGATCACTGTAGTTTGCTGAAGCTTTCCTTCATTTTTACCGCCAAGGCTTATCCCAGAATTCCTTTGTGCCCTTCATCCGGGAGCTTCGTTCCCAGATTTCTTCCTATTCGTCATCCGGGACTTCAATATCAAGGCCGCCATTGACGGAAAGCGAGCCAAGCACGTTGTTCACTTTCATTTTCCCGAAAAAATAGCCCTTTTGTTTCAGTAGCCTTGTTTCTACTCTAAGAATGGGACGGAAAAAGAAGAAGGCTATGAAGCCCTGGTGCTGGTATCCTTTTTAAGTGAAAAAGCTTAATGTAGTGCTGTCTTGGAATGACGGTGAATATTATCTAGCTTAGCTTATTGAATTGATCACGCGCCGGCCGGTCAGCGTTTAAAAATCTTTACCCTAAGCAACTAAATACTTTGTTATGGCTTTCTACTTTCAAGATTGTTATCACTTGTGATTTGGGTAACAATTAGAAAAAACGCTGGTAATGGAACCTTACTTTGAGAGGACAAATACGTTTAGCTTAAGTTTATAATAATAAGCTTAATTTCTGTCCATCTACAAATACAGGACTCCAGTTGTTCAAAAGCTGGATAGCGCTCTCCACTGGATAAATCTCTGTCCAGTGGATAAGTATTATGACTAACCAATTGCGTCATCCACTAGATAGAGATTTATCCAATGGATGGTATTATACACGTTTTTAACAACTGGGGCCTGATTAGTAAAATTTATGTTCAAAATATTATGGGTTTTAAGGGATTTTAACGACCCTTTTTTGCCTGCAATTGCTTTAGTTGTAAACATAATTGATATTAGATTAACATGTCTTCTTAAATTGTAATTTTACAATCTCTGGTCCCCCGATCTTTTGACTTAATTCTCGACTGTCGGTCAGTAGAGAAACAAGTCTAAAGCATAGTTTCAAGACGTTTGAGTGACAAGTCAAGCAGTCGAGACAAACTATTGCAGAATAGTAGGCAGGAATCACCAGAGTTACAGGTGCAAAGGTCTAAATTTATTTGTGTGGGTTTTTTAAATAAATATACTTAACCAAAATGCTGAGTAGGCAGTAAATATTCCTCTGAAAATTGGCAAAATTGCCCGCTTCCAGCTCATTTTGACTACTTCGCTTTCAAGAAAGCTGTGACGCTTGCCAGTTGAGAGGCTAATCAAAATTTTAACTGAACAAATTGATTGCAATTACCACAGTTGTAGATGGTGCAAACTAGTGTACCTTTTTGCTGTGTAACTCCAGCAGCTTACTAACCTACTCATTGCTCCTTGCTGCAAAGAATTAGGAGCCAAAACATGTAAGAGTCTGGAATGGTCCACTTTCAGTATGAGGCGAGAGCATAGAGATTTTGTCAAAACAGTATGCCTGCATTTCTTGTGAGTCCAGTGATAATACAGCATTTATGAAACAAGCTTGTCCATAACCACTATGATACATTCTGTATAACATTTTGCAAAAAAAAGCTGGGCGCAAAGAAGGAGGTTTTATGGCTTGCCGTTCGGGCAAGTTGTTGCTGGTCTGTACTAGCCCAAGAGTCTTTTAAATGGCCCCCAAATTTTTTTGATGAGCAACATTGATTATAGTTTTTCTGTAATTTGAATTTCCCAAAAAACTTCACTTGCCCTTCAGACAAGTTAAGAAGAGGATTCACTAGCCCGATTGCAAAATCCACTAGCCCCGAGCTATCGGACATGACTTTCTTTACACTCTGCAAAGTATCTTTTTTTATTAAATTGTTTGTTCCTCACATAGCCTTGAGCAACCAACCTTTATCAGATTAATCCTTAACCATGTTTAAAGGTATTGTAATCGTGACTTTGATGAAGAGAAAATATTAATTCAGCATCAGAAGGCTAAACATTTTAAGTGTCCAATTTGCCACAAGAAGCTGTACACTGGCCCAGGACTGGCCATTCATTGTATGCAAGTACATAAAGAAACCATTAGTACAATTCCTAACTCGCTGCCAAACAGAGGAGACCCAGAAATAGAGATCTATGGAATGGAAGGTATTCCTGAGAAAGACTTAAAAGAGCGCCAGCAAAGGGGCAATAATGCAGGGGACGGTAAGTGAAATGATAAGGTAGAGAAAGTGATCAAAAGACATGCGAAAGTGGGTTGCAACATTGTACATGCATCTTCATGGTGTAGTGCATTAAAAATATCTTGGTGGTAAAAGTGGGAAGCTAAGAAGAACTAAATACCTGAGCTTTGTGAATAGATCCTTCCTTGGGTTTTTTTAACTTTTGACATGGACCATTTAGGGAAAATCCATGGACACCACTGGAAGAGCACCTTAGAATTAGTTTAATTGCCAAATTTGAAAGTTATATGTTCTAGGCAAGCGAAGATATGTCTGCAAAGTTGTGAAAATAACAGATGTTTGTATGTTGGCGGGGCAAGTTTGTGCCACCCACATTACAAACAACTGTAAAATTTCGCAAATTTGAGATGCTATATCTTGGTTAGTTTCCAACAAATCACTTTCAAAATATGACAATTTTATCGTTTTCAAGGCACTCTTTCCATTGCTACTAAAGACTTGGTAAATCAATTTTCCTGAAATGTTTTTCTGCCCCCAATTTTATGATGGCCCTGGCTAATTATGTACTAGATGTATTAGAGGGTTGGCTGTACTGTCATTTCCCAGTAATGAGAAGCTGTCCTTTGAATGAAAAAAGAGTTACATTCTGTAAAAAGGATAACTCTGTGTCTCCCATACTGTGTATTATAGATGACGAACCAGACAATAAGAAAGCCAAAAGTGACGACCAAACTCAAGTAGCCTCAGCGGCAGCAGCAGCAGCAGTAGGAATGGTTCCTGCTGCTATTCCTGGTGCTGTTCCTATGATGCCGATGATGCCCGTACCTGGAATGCCAGTCCCTCATGGATTCCCTCAGGTGCCATTTGGTCAGCCAATTCCAGGTGGAGATAATTTTATTGTAATCTTGTATTGGCTGGTTGTCTATAGCTACCCTGTACCTGTTGCTTAAGTGAGCTCTTCATCTTCTAAATTTCGGTCCAAGAAAGGACGTGTAATGCACAAGCCTTCCAAGTTCTTAATCAAAGAGCTCTTAATCAAAGTTGTTTCTTGTTATGCATGTATTATAGTGACGCGGTATACATGCCTCAAGGTGATAACAAGTGCTTTGACTGGCATGAAGTTGTTGACATGATGTTGACAGGATAATTGCCATTTAACCAATGGTAATTTGCTTTTTCTGGGAAATGCAACTTTCAGTTGCTCCCAAAGATGTCCACAGACCGTCTATTTTCTTCTTTTCCCACTCCCACCTCTTTGCTCTTTCAGTCAATAAATCCCCACAGTTTTTATTTCCCTATGCATGCTCAGCAATGTCTAAAGAGAAAACTGACGTCTCTGAACAGGCTAGCCTCTTCTTGGTAAAATGTACAGTGTACAGAGTGTGCAGATCACCAATGTGATTACTATTTGCAAGGTTCAATTTGTAAAAAAGTGCTTCATTCAGGCTGTCTGTTGTTCCTTATACTGAACTAGCATCTCTGTTAAATTGGCTTTTATAATGACCTTTCACAGTTTTTGTCTTTTTGATGCATTATTATTGCTGTAATGTATTTCTTTTTTAAAGGTGCTCCACACATGCCACCTGTTGGGTTCCCAGGTCAAATGCCAGTCCCAGGGCATATTCCAGGGATTGGGTAAGTTGGAGTCTGTTTTGTTTTTTACTGGTCAAAACATTCATTTGAATAACATGTTGCCTGAAGTGTTGATTCTTAGAACTGACGATATTTACAATGAGGCTGATAATGTCTATTGTCCTACTTTAGTATGCCATACCCTCAACATGGAATGCCACCAACTTCCATCCCTCCAAGCACAGCCACAATTACCTCTCTTCAAAACAAAGGTCCAGTTATAGGGCCTCAGGTACCCAACACCAAACCCCTCTTCCCAGCAGCACAGGTAAGCAGCTTTGGTTTAGTTTGACTAGGATTGCCCAGTATTTCCCTACTAACAGTAAGTACATTAATTACAGAAATGAAATCATACTATATAAGACTAGAGAAATTTAAAAATTATTCCCATGGTACGTGTACACATAATTGAAAACGTCGTGAATTGTGCATTATTTTAGTTCTGTCAATTGTCCAAACCCTCTTTCTCTGGAATAGCCTTATGTCCCTTTTTATCTTATAAATTTTCATCCTGAAAATTTACTTACTTACATGAACATGTACCTAAAAAGTAATACTATTGTGACAGGACAGATCATTCTCTTTAATTGTTTAAATGTACAAATTTTGCAAAACCGACTTATGCCCTGTTGTTGTTCTGCTTCAATTGCTTGAGGATAAACGAGCAGTAAATGGTGTATAATATTATTATTGGTGCCACACTGCATTCATTTTCATTTATTTCGCTGAAATTTATGCATACAGGGTATATGCATAGCTAAGTTTAAAATGCTTTTAATTTGTTCAGAATGTAAATGGGGCTGCTAAATCCAGTGCTTCCTCAGGCCCTGTGGGTGCTGATTTTAAACCTCTGCAATCAGCTGCACCAACCACAAGCTATCAAAGCCCACCTGTTTCGTCTTCAGGTTTGTGACACCTTGCATTTTTCTTTCCTAATTGCATTGTATGTGGTGCATTAAACACTTGTTTTTGGACCTCAGTCTGGATCAACTGTTGCACGCTACCAAAACCAAGGTTTATTCAAGAGTGGGGCATTGTGGGATCTCTGCGATTGGGAAAAAAATGCCACAAGAAGTTTATGTACATGCCAAAAATGGAGTGCAGATATGATCTGAAATAAATATCACAATAAATACAATTGGTTAAGTGGAATTAATCAAGAATCCAAGACTGAAGTGTGATCTCATCTTTCAAGATTGTTTAACGTTTGGAAACTGAAATGAATGGCATTAATTTTATACAGTTATTTCAGAATGGGGGCATAGGAGGGCCTCATTAATATTATTGTTGGCCAATGTATAGAATAAACCCTGCAAAACCAGCGTGCAAAGCAGAGAAGCTGTTGATAAGGTTGAAAGAAATAGTCCATTTTCGAGTTCCATAAGCTCTTTAAAGTAAGGCCAACAATAAATTAATATATATATACAACATTTTTTTCATTTAAGAGACTTCGCATTTACCCTCATGGTGTTTGAGGAATGGCATTACATTATCCTTTAATAGCTTTGTCAAGATGATTGATGAGTAGAACACTTTGCAAGGAATAAAACAGTTACTGAAGCATTTACTTTTTCTGTCTTCTAAAATGCTTGCGTATTCCAAGGACTAGTTATCAAAAAAATCATCTTCTTTCATTGTAGGTAAACCAATGGTGGTTCCACCTCCCACTTCAGCACCTGTGGTGTCTAAGCCTGCTACCATTGTTGCACCAGGAGCAACAAGCCGTTTGATTCATCCTGATGAAGACATTTCATTAGTAAGTACCTGAACTGCTTCCTGTTTCAGTTGGATGCACACCATGTGCACATTTAGCATATATTTTGAGTAATTGTATTTTAATTTATGTTGTTCACAGTCATGCTTTAGTTGACCGTTCACCTTTACTACATTATAGATTGCATTTATTTTTTGACGTTTCCCATAGCTGTATGTTCAGTAAGAAACTTTGTCGGTGGTTCCTCCTAAAATGCTCAGTCTGAAGTTGGTATTGGATCAACTATAGCCATAGGCAGTTGGGGGAATTGCACACATCTTAGGCATTCTACTTATGAATAGTTATGGCATTCAACACCTGATGTGATGTATCTGCTGGTGCAACAATTGTCTTTAGTCCATCACTCGCCTGTCCCCAAACATTGTGCAACCAACTACCTCTACGGTCTCAGATATTTGTCTTAGTTTATATTATCAAAGAAGTAATAGTTAATATTTGTTTAATGAAGATGTATGTGATACCATTATTTTCTTTAACAGGAGGAAAGACGAGCATCTTTGCCTGCGTACGCTCCTAAGACACCCAGTTTGGTTTCATCCAACCCTCCAACCATGGTTACTGGTCCACCGTTACAGATGCAAGCACCTGGAAACCACCCTCCTCTAGGACCCATGCCTTTAATGTCCAACATGCAACAACATCCAATGCCTATGCTATCAGCACCCACAGGGGGGCCACCGCAAGGAGGACCCATGCCTGGGGGACCAGTTCCTGGTGGTCCAATGCCACCTGGTATGAGACCACCTGGATATCCTGGCCAAATGCCAGGACCACCACCACCACAACATCAACAAGGAATGCCACCTGGAATGCCACCGAGGCCACCCTTGATGGGACCTCCATCTCTCATGGGACCTCTGCCTCAAGGCCCTGGTGGAGGGCCTCCTCGTGGACCCCCTCCAAGAGGGGCAATGGGACTTCTTGGACCTCACCCAGGCGGTAGGCCACCTATGAGATTACCCATGGGCCCTCCCAGAAGGTTCTAGACAGTTAGAATAAAGTTAATGTCAACAGAAATGCCAGATGATTGTCACTAAGGAGGCAGTGCATACATTTCACAGCCATCTTGAATGCACATTTTGTCACGGTTTACAAAGTTGTCTAAAATACATTTATGAGTTGCAGCTAGGACGTTTTAATTTACCGAAAATAAGCGTGAGTATAGTTTACTTTGGAAACGTAAGTTTTTGTCCTCCATAGTAACAATCAGTCAATGTTGGAGGTGGTGTAAGGTGAGTCATATCTCCATTATCCCTCCATCCATTCTTACTAGCATGCGTTGTGGAAATGACGTGAAGACTATTTTCTTTCATCTGGCATTTCAGTCATCTATTTTTTGAATATGGAATGAATTTGTTGCACTCACTTAGTTTTATTTAAGATTTCTTAATGATCCTTTTTCTTAAATTTAGTACCAGAGTCGTGCTAAAAGATTGAGTATTGTAAGTTCAGTGGTTGACTCAACTTTGTACTTACTGTGAATGGAAATTTCATTTTTGTACATTCAAAACAAAAAAGGTAGGTTTAAGCCATAATAATGCTTTTTGTTATCATGAATAAATATGGCCACATGTGACTAAAATTGGCTTGCCAGCAAGATAACATGTTGTTGTATCATGATGGCTACCATTAAGGCAAAAGCAGCTATACTGTTCATGTGGTCACACTGTGGTTTTGTATTCAAGGCAAGGTAAAGGTTACATTTTATCATTCACCTTATTTCTGGTCTAAATTGATCAATGAACTACTGCACTGTAAGTTAATTTTAAGCTGTATTAAAAGACTTACTGAAAAAATCTTGGGCACTATAGGTTTTGGTGGTTGAAGTTGTGCCGAAAAAGGGAGAAATGCTCTCTCCTTTACAGAGGGTCACACTTAATGTTCATACCGTTCACAACTGCAATCCCTTTGCACCATAATGCAGTGCAATAATGACCCATGAAACCTCTAAAGAGAAGAGAGGAGAAAAACTTCTTGGCATACATTCTTTGAGTTCCTTGTTTTAGAACAGAAAGATGGTATAATATGATACTCTAATAATTATTAGTGTATCGTATTATACACATATTATTATTTATTCAGGCATATTGAAAAATGCTACCAAAATAATAATATTTCCTGAAAGGGAAATAACAAGGTTATCCTCCTACAAGACAATTTCCATGATTTAACGACTGAATGGAATTTACAGTGGTTTAACAAAATGCAAATAATGTCTGCATAAAAAAACTAGCAAAATGTTACTTAAAATTTCTCAGCGTCTGTGTTGAAGAACGAAAAAAGGAGAGAGTAACTAACACTGTACATTTTTTTTAAAACAAAACGCTTCGACTTTTTGGGAGTATTAAGGTAGGTCCGCAGAAAGGTTTGTCAATATTATTATTCTTTAGTATTGAAATACCAGTACTTTGTATTGATGCCATGATAGCATAGAATTTTACTACTTGAGTTTATGACGTGCCCATCTTTTGTAACTGTAGTAAAGCATGTGCAAATAAGTCAGGTTTCTTTCTCCTCAGTGTTCAAATACATTGTCATCCCCTTGCCTCCCACAAGAAAATTCCAAAGCTTCTTTTAAAGAATGTCTTAAACATTTGGGCCAAGTTGTTCGAATGGTGGACAACGCTATCCACTGGATAAATCTCTAGCCAGCAGATAGCGCAATAAGTGGTTTCCCTAATACATATATACCGGATAGTGATAAATGTGGTGATAGCGCTATCCATCGTTTGAACAACTGAGCCCAGGGACAGAAGCTTTGATGGACAACTTTACATTTTACAGTGACCCTCAAAGACCATGAACACTAAAACCTTGCAGGAATACCTTTTCTGGTTAGGTTAGGTAACATTCAGGAACTATTAGTCAAAAGGATAAGAACAAAACTGCTGTAGCTGTAAACAGACAGTTGTTCATTGAAACGTATTCCCAGGTGCATTTGTACCATCAGCTTTGACGTATTCTATTACGACTATTTTAAATGAATTATTTCCTTACGTGCATGTATTACAGTTAATATACTTGAACATCTATTCTTTGTGGAGACTTGGAGGCATTTTATTTTGGTTGAATGATTTAATTTACAGTGTATTCTAGTTATTTATCATTGTCTCCTAATTCAACATAACTTACTCAAGGTAGGGTAGCTTTCTTTGTTTGAACCATCCAATAGTATTTTTTTCAGATCATTGGAAAGGTAGGGCACATTTTCCAGGTTTGACTATCTTTAAACTACATGTGAAATAAGCTATTAATTTAAATCACTAATAAAAATGACACAGAAGAATTGTATGAAGTGTGCTTCTTGTCCTTTTTTCTTTTGATATAATTTATTGTAGAATTTTTCTGCCAGCGAGCCGGGAACAGCTTTTGCTATGACAGGCTAAAAAGTAATTCAGGACACTGGCATTTTCAAAAAGCAGCACTATGGACATTGACATGCTACATCTGAAGGTTTTTCACCTTCAGAAAAAGTAGGCTTAGAAGTTTTCCCAGGGTCGAAGTAAACTGATTATAATAAGGACGTGTACTTTTTAAGTGGGTGTTAAGCAGCCTAGACCCTAGGAATTCTCGGCTCGGTCAATCCTGGACGCTACTGTGAGCTGTGACGTCACCGAGAGATTCCAAGAGATACTAGCCGCTTCTCTCGCCCGCTCTTTCCCAGACTTCGCGCGGACAACGGGGCAAGAGAGAACGCCTAGGGACTAGGCTGGGTGTTAAGTACAGGACTGGTAACTTGTCATCTCGGAGGGAAGGGGTTGCAAAGGGTGATGGGAATGAGGAGGGCAAGCGAGGGAAAAAGATATTACAGTTGACTCCCAATAACTCGAATGCCCGCAAACTCCAGCCAAAGTTAATTTCCCCTAGATTTCCTTCTTACCTTTACTGTGATTTTACCCTCGGTAACTCGAACCTCCCGCTCACTCGAAGTAATTTTTTTTGTCTTCAGATCATTTCTATACAATTTTACCCTCGATAACTAGAACCATGTTATAGGCGTGTGACAAGTCGGGAAAAAAAAACGGTGTACTGGAGTCCTAAACATTGAATTTATCAAAACAATCGAGTCAATTCTTTGTCTTTGCTTTTTTGTCACTCCAGTTCAAATTTAGTATTCATCCCTGTATACTTTGTTGCTTGATTGCAATCCCTCCCCATCCATTTGCTTATTTCGTTACTTTCGGTTATTTGCTTCAAACTCCTGATAACTCGACCTTTTTTTCAATTTCCCCTGAAGATTCGAGTTATCGGTCGACTGTATCTCGCTCTTCTTCCCAGCTCACTTTATGCTCCATAACAACTGCCCCTGTGCGAGAAACCGAGGATATTGATGAGTTAGATTTGGCTAAAGTACTGCTTCTTTCCGTCTCCCTTCTCTAGTACCAAAGCATGTGTTAATTTAACATCTAGAATGTTGCTATATCCGAGCTGGCAGCTTGGTACAGTCGAACCTCTATAAAGCAGTCAATTGCCAGAGATGGCAGTGAGGTCTGGGGCGGGAGTGGGTGCGAAAAAGAAACGAGCCATTTACCATACGCTTTCCAAACTTTCGCATGGTGGTAAAATTAATTGGCGAATTCGTGGCGAATTCAATTGTGTGTAGTGCTCTTCATCAACACCTAAAGAAGTAAGTGGGGGATAGGGAGTGGCTGAAGTAATAATCGTTTATTGAATTTATCAAAGCAGCTTCAAGCAAGTCTCAGTGTACCTTTCCAAGGTTTATTATTATAATTATTATTTTTTAGCGACGCGAATATCCAATGACACTGCTAGAAAAGAGCGCCTTAATCAATTACAATATTTATTTTGTTCTTTTTAGCCGTGTTGACGGATTTTCGCTAACTGATCCCTGTCTAACAAAAACGTGGGAGGGCCTATTACAAATATGGCAGACGCGGCTGTTGAGTGAATCTGCCGATTCCAAAATGGACAAAATGTTTCTCACAGTATTCATCATGGTCACTTGGCAACAAAGCACTCTTGTACCCTCCTCGACTGTTACAAAACGAAACGTATCAACTGCTGTAGAAATATTGGGTTACTGGGTCTTCATGCTGGCATAAGAAAAGAACATCTCTGAATTTATCCAGCAGTGTTAGGAGCTGGGATCTTCGCAGGTTCTCGTAATACATGACTTCTTCCAAATGCTGTTTTCCTCTAAAGTAAGGTGTCAGCCTGGGGGATATAATTCCAAACTTCAGAAAATAGGAGCAATAACATTAGATACTGTGGGAAACTGGGACTCAGTATGACGCCCAGGGGGGTACTCGGGATTTCAAGTGACGGGGATGATCGAAGGATTTTTTTGGGTTTGAAATTTTCGATTCCGGGATTTTTTGGGGTACGAAAATTTGGCAAGTATTTTTTTGGGTAGCTTGATTCGAGTAGGGATTTTTTGGGGGCATTAAAAAGAATCGGCAATTTTTAAAATTTTTAATGATGTACTAGTGAGCAGCACACTTACACTTCCAGTGAACATTTTCACTTGGAAGAAGGAGAAATCACGCTCGCCCGGCGCAACGAAAATTTTCGTGCCCCGCGCGAGAATCAATTTCCAATGTTTTTCTTGTTATAGCATTACCCCTTTCTGGAACTTTTAAGGGCCACAAAATCGGAATGGGATTTTTTGGGGGTTTATTTTTGGTCCAGGGATTTTTTTGGGTTTTGCTGGAAGCCCTAGGGATTTTTTTGGGTCTTGACTTTTGGCTCCATTTGATCATCCCCGTCACTTGAAATCCCGAGTACCCCCCTGGGGTATGACGTCAGTATCACGTGTTTTCGTTTTGGAAAATCCCACCACCCACGAAATTTTCTCTGCCTCGAAGATTCTGATTGTTTTCTGATGTTGTCTCTGATTGTTATTCTGAGAAGCTAATGTATTGCTAGTCTGAAGGTTTTGAATTATAACCTTGAAGATTATCTGAAGAAAGTCTAAGATTGTGTCCGTTTTATTCAGGTACTCACCCAACCGCAGAGCCTAAGAATCTGCAATCTTGTACCCAGAGTCCTCTGGAGTTTTGATCAGAGGGCAGGTAGCCTGCATAACAGACGCTCTATCAGCGCTTAATTTCGCGTCTCGCGCATGTCGCGCTCCGCGCGAAATTCCGCGTTCACCTCGCTTGGCTCATATTAAAAGCGCCTGTTATGCAGGTTAGGGACCGGGTCCCTGGCGTAGCCAGAAGATTGGGGAATAGAATCTGCTGAGTCGTTCAGTTTTCCCTCAGCAGTCGATAGAGGTAGTGGAAGTCCCATAACATCCCACTGAACCACTGCGGGGAAGGAAGAGATACCTCAGCCTTCTAATACAGTGCAAGACCGTGACCTCTTTACCACATTGGGTTTTTCGCGTTTTTCAGGCGAGCACGAGGCCGGCGTGGGTGAGCGTGGAGGGACAGACACGCGCTGCGTGCGTGTCTGGCGCTCCTTGCTCACTCCGCGCTTGCCTTTGCTCGCCTGAAAAACGCGAAAAAAAAACCACACACACACACACGCCAGAGAACCCTCTCAATACCACAGAATCCCATTCTCTTCTCCTACCTTGTAAATAACTTCATGTCTTCAGGATTCAATGCAGCGGGTACTTGAAGCACACTTTTCCTTTCAGCGTACGTCAGATCCTTTAGTTCCTCTTCCAGCTCGGGGTTTATTTCATTCTCGGCAGGCTCATGTTGGTTATCGGCTAATGATGACAGACCATCCGGAAAACTATCTCCGAATATCCAACGCACTCTTTGCCCACTGCTTTGTTCAAATTGGGCCGTGGGTACCAGAAACACATAGGTGTGTAGCTGAAGAGATAAACAAACTGACAATCAGTTCCAAGCGTACCATAGGGGAGCCTGTTTTCGAGAGGTTTACCGAAAGGAAAGTCCGTCGACAATACCGTCGTACTGTTTAGCTAATCAAAGAACTATTCCAATCTTTGCTCAACCTTTACTCCGAAGTGTAAAATAGGAAAAAAGAAAACAAAATGTCATTAAACAAAGTCAGAAAGTCCATTTTCGTGTCTGACCTTTTGCTAACACGTTGTAAACTTTTTTTTCAGTTAAAAGCAGGGTTAAAAGACGTTTTGCACTAAGGCCGTGATTTTTTTTCAAGAGCAAGAACTCATCGCTAATGCTTGGTGGCGTCCCAACCACATTTTGTAATACTGCTCACTAAAAGATGACCATTCAACTGAAAATCGCCCCAGTTAAGGTGTGGTACGGAGCAAATATCCAGCCTGGTGTGGTATAACCATATGTAACAGTTCCACGCACAATACGATTGATCACTCATACGTGTAAAATACCTGTATTAATAATCTTCGTTGCAACATCCACACCACCATTTGCACCTGTTCCGCCTAAAATTGGACAAAAAAAACCTTTTGAAAGGAAGGAATAAAAAATATGTCACGTACCATTCCAAAAACCATGATTAAGAGGGCGAATAACATAGAATGTTTTATCGCCAAAAGGAGAGAAAGGAAAACTTGAATTAAAAGAATAGTGAAATTGCAGCAACGAACAGTGAGTCGGCGACAAAATTCGTGAGACACAATCGTCGAATAAACTACAGTTCGAAAAACAATCTGAACCCATTCCTCCTACCATGACCAATGTTGACTTGGTTGTTGTTTCCCGGATACAGGCGGCTGGGCAGCAGCACAACATCGTTTGTAGCGGGGGAGGGGGACGTGGAGGAGGAACGGCTTGTTTTTCCTTTTGAAGTGCAAGGTATCGGCAGAACGAAAGAAATGTGGACGAGGGCATAGTTGAGTGTCTAGACTAATATTATCGCCAATTGTAGCTATTTATTAATAATTTCTTCATTGCACTTGTTACATCTGACGCTTGGGGAAACGTTTCCTTGTTCTCTACCTCTTTTCTGTGTATCTGTTACGGTTATGTATTTTTTCCGCGAGAATTAGGTTCCTTCAAGATTGTCTGTAATATGTCGACTGAAGAAGCAGTTTGAGAAGGAGTAGGGGGCAGGAGGTTAGTGGGGGGAAGGGGGGCTTTGTTTCCCCTATTGGCCATATTGGAGTTGAGTAGGGAACTGGGGCGAGTTTCAAATTTAAACTAATCGATAAACTGGTACCACCATATCAAGGGTCATGTTAAGATTGGTTAGTTGAACAAGTTTGGTGCTCTATCTAAGGTTGAACAGGGTCAAGTTACGACTCTTGAAACATGGTTAAAGATCCATACAAACGTCTGTAATTTTGTGACAGCGTCCTCCAAAACCATATAAACTCTTTAAAATATTTTTGAGTTTTTCCTGTTAAACTGTAAAATTCGTCATGCACCTTCTACTTGGAAGGAACTAATTCGAAAATCACTATGTTTGCCCATTTTCAGGAATATCACAGAAATCGTGAAAAAAATTGAGAGTTTACAATTAACCTGACCCAGCTTAGGAATGATTGGTCACACCACCAGGGTCTAAGTCCCCCACTCTTTTCGAACAGTGGTGTGGGTTCTTTTACGTCCAACAAGAACCAGATATTCAGTGAAAGTGCTGTGAGACGGGACCTACGGTTTTTCGTCCTTATCTGAGAAGACCGGAAAGTCTAACTGTTTGCAAGATGTCACTACAAAGGCAGCACTTTCTTCTCAGTTATTAAAAGACCCCGAGTGTTGGTCCCGCCGGGATTTGAACCCGCGACCTCCCGCCCAACAGACCGGCGCTCTGCCAACTGAGCTAACCAGGCGGGGGTGAACAATAAACTACACAAGTTTTGTACCAGCTCAGAAATACCTGCTGCTGTGGTAACCCCAGGGGATTATTGTGTTCACTGAGAGGAGCTGGTAACGAGAATTCCGACAGCACGTTGTGCAGTGACATGCGCGGAAACCTTGACGTAAACTCTTCGACGAGTGGTGATGAGCTGCAACAAAAAAAAATTGTTTAATAGATGATTGGCATATATAACATGCGCTTCATAAAATTTCCCTTTGATTAATTGCAAGTTGACTAGATGTGCTTTATAACTCCTAGCCTCCCATTCAGACGTTTTTTGGGCTCGTCACGCAATCCTCCCCAGGAACGCGTGACGAACCCCTAAGAACGTATGCGTGCGAGGCTACGACTTCATGCCCATGTCACAAGTGTTCTAATTGGCCCGCACTTCATAAAGAACACACTGCCCTGTATGGTCAAAGGGGCTCACGAAACACATGTACACATGATAGGTTTTAATAAAGTACCCCAGTCTTACAGAAAGAGTACAATACACAAGACTGGAAAAACCAGACGAGATGTACAGTGTGAGGTAACGCGCATTTTGGACAGACTTACACGTTTACAGAGGAGTTGGGTGCGACAACATACACGTTACTCTCACAGAGAGGGTACACAATAGTAGCCATTCCCCAATAAACTAGATGAGCTGCTATGGCGAATACCTGAAAAAAAAAATACATGTACTTTAAAATAAATCAGCTGAAGTTGAAGGATTCTCTCAGGATAAAAAGCCACATACCGTAGACTGCGAGCTTAAGTAACAAGAACACTCACTTCCCGGATGTCATGAATGGCTAGGAAAAAACTTGTTTTTTTTAACATGATTTAACGCTCCTGACACAACATGCTTCAAAGCTTTTGGTTATACTCTTGCAGTATGGAGTAATCGAGACAGACCACCGAAAAAGAGAAAAGCTCAACTTCCGATTCTTATTTTTAACTTGCGAGACATCAACGCTCTTGTCTCTCAAGCTCGCTAATAAAAAAAGATCGCAAATGAGCAGGTAGTATGATTCTTTGACGGTCCTTTCCTAGTTTCCAGAGCCTTTCTTCAGGCCCGCAACTGAGCCCGCACGGTCAATTCATTTTGGTGACGTAACCGAGACTAAAGTCGCATTATCTGACCTATCCGAAAAGTTAGAGGCCTGAGAACTAGGCGAAGATGGATTGAGGGAGCCTTAAACGGTCAGAGAACCTGGAGAAGACTGCTCAAAAATTGATGCATTTTTTCCGAAGCCACGAGGCTCTCAGATACCTCTCTTTTCTCTGCCAATTGAAAACACGCCTACTATTGTTTTTTTTCACGGTTAGGACAATGTTTGGGTCATTCATCTATGGTTTTGTTAGCTAATTGAACCAATAATTATTCATTCTGCGATCTGCGTGGTGCTCCCAATTTTTCCATCTACTTCACGCGTGATTTTCGTCTTTCCCTGAGAAAACTGCGCATGAACGCAACCAAATCAAACGGGCTGTTTTTGATTGGTTGAGAAACAACCAATGCAAAGCTACACGCCACTTTGTTAGCTAATCAGAGGCAGAAATAATCGCGACAATGACTTTTCCGCGCACTGTACTGAAAGATTGACTGGCTCATACCTCATCATTGATTGAAGTGATACGCGCGATTTTAAAGTGGTTATGAAATGACATGAAATGAGTGTGATAAAATCATTGATAACGAAGGGTCCTTTATTTTCCTCTGAACAGGAAAGTAAACGCGGAAAAAGTCATGACTGGTTTTGTTTTTAGTTCGCAATCCTGATTGGCTGATTAGCCAATTTTTTTTAAACAAATCATGAAAACATGACTTATCAAAAGCAAGTCTTGTTTTTAATTAAAAAATAATTTAAAAAAACATTTAAAAATAATGGCCGCCTCTACTCAGACCTACTAAGGGCTTCAGAAACGAGTGACAAAGCCCTGAGAAGGTCTAAGTTAAGGACAACTGTCCTTTTGCAGACCTGAGAAAGGGGAATGTCAGTGTCTTGCGATAACGTCTGAAAGCTGTTGAGGAGGAAAAACACAAATTAAAGTTCGATTAGTCTAAAATACAACATTCACAGAGTCATGCAGGATGACTTTGCACAATATATTCAGTTTGGTTAGTCATTACCTGTAAGTTATTAGAGTCGTCTTATAATATGTACCATCACTACTGTTATTAATATCGTCATATTAAACAGACACTGCCTATAGTTTTCAGATAAGTAATATTTTCTTGAGACTATTCTAATTGTACGTTGGCTGTATACCTCTTCAATGGACTAGCCATTCGTACAAGCCTGGTGACTGCCGGGGAACAGTCCCCTGGCAGGGATGCCACAAGATATCCCTCATCCACTAAAAATAACAGCGTATGATATGGCCTGAGAAGAAAAATAAAAATAAATCCACGGTCAAATGGGAAAGAAGCAGACTCGGTTCAATGCATCTTTGTTACTGGAGTTTTGCGCTCTGTAAATATACGGTCGGCAAGTTTGAATCATCTCGCAGAGGTGATTCTTGATGAACCTAATGATTCCTTTGGTGATTATGAATAAGAACTACAAAAACTATAACTCAAACCTGATGGCTGCCAATGAAGTGTGTATGACTTCAGGCTAAAAAAGACACATATAAACGTTTTGTTAGTGAAAAGGTGAATATTTTGCCATCCTACCATATTTCATAAGTTTAAGGAATAGCAAGGGTGACACAGTGATGAGAGCTCTTACCTCCCATCAGTGTGGCCCAGGTTTGAAGGTTCTGTGTTCTGGAGGCTAGAACACAGGTGGGTTAGGTTTATTGGAGGATTTGCGCCCGCGTTTCTCCTCTCCTCAAAAACCAACAACTCAAAATTCAATTTGATCAGGAATTACAGAAAAAGAATCATGTTGTGGATGGGCTGTCACTTAATCGTTAATCACTATTCTATTAATAATACCCATTTTCTTTATCAGCCACAGAGGATGCTTTGGGCGTTGTCCATCCTAGCACTGCAGTAAGCAAGACAAGGTCAGATTGAAGCCCTCCCCATACACCACCTAAGGAAATTCCATTTTAGATCCTTTTTTCACTAATTCTATGAGGAGATAGTGATATGAATTTTATAAAAAGTCATGGATACATTGGCATTAGTTTGACTGCCGCCAACTTTTGCGAGCAGTGTCATTTGCTAATTCACTAATGCAGTGAGTCCAGCCGGCGGCGACAAATGCTGGCAAATGACGTTATCTTTGGAAGAAGCAGATTTCCTGGGCCTTTAATAGAGTGATTAAGATTTACTTTTACGCCAAACGGCAAACGTCAGATTTAAGTTGAGAATTTCTCAGAACAGAAAATAAGCAGATAAAAACTGTCCGGAACAATTCTGATGTATAAAACTGGCGTCAAACTACTTGTTTTTTAGTTGAAGAAACAAACAGTTAACGACAAGTAAGGGAAAAAATTGGTCACGTGGTACAAATTCACGTTTGCCCTTTGGCATAAACCTCAATCTTAGACCCTGTTTAGATGGAGTGGGGGACCCCGGTCTAGTGGGGTAGGTTTCTTTTGTTTTGTGTCCCCCAGAGCGTGAAAACAAAAGAAACCAACCCCACTAGACCGGGGTCCCCAACTCCACGTAAACAGGCCCTTAATCTCTCTAATAAATGCTGGCATGGAGGTGCCAGTATTGTCAAATGGTTAGGATCCAAAGCAGACTTGGATGCAGGTACTTCTCATATTCAAGAAAAATTAGTTGTACTCTGACTGCAATTTTAAAAAAGTATCTCATGGAAGGCACAAGGTCAACTACTCAGCCAGGTCAAATCCTCCACCTCATAGCTAGACTAACCTGGAACTTTGTTTTAACTTGTTAATTGTTCAGGACGGAATATTAAATTGTTTCTGAAGTTACATACTATTAGTTACATACTATTAGCCTGCACACTAATATCACAAAATATCACTGAAGAAGGGCAAATAAACGGGATAAAGAAGATTTCTTGCTGATTGTGTTTATGAAATATACTTACTTTACTATGTAATCTATGTTAGAAAAAACAAAACACAGAAAGTTCTTTCAACATCTGGATAGACTTACTTTAATGTGAATTGTTCCCATGTTTAAGTTGTGGACTTTGTGAGGAAGACAGAAACTAACATTTACCCATCCATTAATTTTTAGCCTTACTGATCCTGTAGCACACAAGCTGTAGAGCACACAAAATAGAAACTAGCAGTTGACAAAATGACAGTGAATCAAACTGTCAGATTCTGCGCTGTTCATACTTTGATACACTTCTATAATAATTATTGTTCATTACTGCAATTTCTGAAGGGAAAACACTTCAGCAAACAGGCCTGCAAATAATTTTTCTTTGTAGAAGGGGCATGACTGTCCAACCAAATCACTATATCTCAGTCCAAAAAACCAGAAATGTGGTTGGACATGCATATGTTGATATTTAATTATTCCTTTTATTACCATGCAAATCTTCAGCTACAAAAAGAGGTATGATTTTGTCAGGTATGACCAGATTTCAGCCATACATTGTCCAATGACCAACTTTTATTTGCAGCTAACAGCAAAGACATCAACTGTTAGGAAACAAATCTGCAAATGGGCCCTAATCATCTTTCCAGCATCTGTACTCAGAAAGGCACGACAGTGAATGGCCGCTAACAAGAATAATATGAGCTGACATCTACCAATCACAAAACCAAAATACATACATGCAATGACGTAAACAAGTGAGCAAACCTTTTGAAGACATCTTTCAAGTCCCTTGCAAGCTTACTCCTAGGAAGAATGTGTTGAAAAGGTGTTTCAGCACAATCTGTTGTCAAATGAAAATGCATAGTTATTTCAGTTATTTCAAATACAAATCTTACCACAAATCTTTAAAATATAAACAGAGAATGCTACTGAATGTGAAAGACATGGTTTGCAATAATAATAATAATAATAAATAATAATAATATTAATATTTTTAATACCTTCTGGCATTGTAGACATTTCATCATGTACTGAAAGCATTGCTTCCCTTTCTGAGCTTAGGTATCTACACCTAAAAAATTGTTGAGCACAATTTTGATGAGCTTCGATTAATTACTGTCAGTAAAATAACAGGGCCATAGGCGATAGGATTTCTTTCAAAAAGCCTTTCACAAAAGCATTTATCCAGCATTTAGTAGAAATACTGTCTTATTATACACAACTGTGTTTGTCATGAAATATGCTTGCTCATTCGTCTAATTTTCATTCAGCCACATTAGGTCTTAAAGTATTATAATGTTTTGAAATTTAATCATGAACTAACCAAGATGAAATTACAAAGTTAACTTTACCTTATTTCCTCATGTTTCAGGGCAATAGCAATTCTCTTGGATAGATCATGGTAACAGCCGACAACAGATGGCTCAACACTTGCCTACAGAACACAACAGATTGAAATAAACTTGCTAAGAAAAAAAACCCTGAATTCCCTGAATTAGAAAGCCATAATTTGGCATCATAAACAGAAGACAGCATAGTGCTCAACTTGTAAACAATGTTTTGTGTGGTTTTGCTTTCTTTTGGCTGACCAGAAACTTAGACAACTAACTTCAAAGAGGGTTTTTTGGCCAAATCTCCTGGGCCTGTTCGCTCAAATGGGGGTTAAGATAACCCAGGATACGCAAGAAATTTGAATTCAGATCTGACCTTAATATAGTAATATATAATTCTCATAAATTGCTCTCCCCCACAATATTATAATACAGTGTATTTCATGTAAAACAAGTTAAAATAAGGAGAGACAATACCTTTTGACAAAAGAAATAGGGACCCAAATTGAAATTAAACCCAGGGTTTGTAATAATCAACTTCAAACTACAGGGACCAAAGGTGAAGGGATTCACTTTACGGTCATGCATTGGTTTACAGTGTCAGTTTGAGAAAAAGATTAATAGTTGAAGCTCATAGTCGGTTCCACTGTATAAACATGTTACAGGACAAAATTATGTTCAGGTTAAAATTTTTCAACCTTAAGGTTGATCTTCATTTTCCTTTGTCTCCTAGCCCTAATTCATGAATAATAAGGGCTTGGAGACAAAAGAAATTGAGAATCAACCTAGGTTAAGAAATTTTAACCTAAATATAATTTTCACCTGTAACAAATACACTAAAAAATATATTTACATCCAGATTGACTATTCTAAACACAGCACTGAAACAAATAGACATTTACCTGAAGAACGAAAACAACATTGAAAAGTTTCATCATCACATCATCCTTCCTAGATGAGCCATCATTTCTCTAAATAAGTTGTATAAAATTCAGTTTAATATTTATATAGACTAGAACAGGTCATTATTAAAACTAGCATCAAAATGTAATGACAATTTTCTTATTCCTGGTAATACTAGCAACATCACCTGGTTGTCTCTTACCTTAAATTCCCGATCTTGTCTTTTGTAAGCCAACATTGGATGGCCAACAAACAAAACTTCCTCTACCTTTAACTCAAATTTGGTACCACAAGCATCAGACTGGGGTGATAGAATGTTTGCCAGCGTGCTATCAGAGAAGCTATAAACAACAAGAGAAAGTTGGGATTCTAAGTAAGAAAACGTTTGCTGGGGAACCAGTCAATAAAAAATTCATCAAAGAAGAGAACCCTGACAGCCTTGCCATAAAACACAACAATAACTGCAACAAAATGGTTATCAGCTGTAGGGAAAAATATAAAAACAAAGAAACTAAACCAAAATCTTCTCATACCCAACAAGGTGACCATCTTTTATTCCGGAGAAATTTCTGAAAAAGAATGAAACAAAAGATCATTCGACAAAATTTGTCTCAAGGAAATGAGGAAACAAACTAATAATAAACCCCCTCAAAACTATACATAAATACAGACACCAAAATAGAAACATTACATATCTGGTTAATTGCAATAATCTGTTGCTATTTATTACATCCATTTTGAAAAAACTGGTGATCCTTGCATCCTGATTGGCTCTCAGCAAGATGATTTTTACAGACTTAACAATATTTTGGTCTGAAGGTGTGAAGGTTGTCGGAACAAACTAGGTGACAAGTTGCAGCAACAGATCACTCCGTGTACATGTCGCGCAACTAGTCGTAGGATCACATTGCAGTGACACATCACAGTGACAAATCCCTTCAAGCGTTTGTCTCGGCAACAGAATTTTGTTACCGCAACAAGTCCCACAAATTCTGTATGATTTGACTTTTTGCGACATGCTGCTGCGACAAAATTCTGTTACAGAGACAAAGATTTTCACAATAATTCTCCAATACACACAAAGTGATTTGTAACCGTGATGTGTCGCTGTGACACATTGTTGCAACTTGTTGTCTAGTGTGTACTGACCTTAAGTTTCATGTGCTCTAACGTCTAAGTCAGAACATTTTTGTTCTCAATCTAAATTGCATCACGTTAATCTAAACTGCATAGTTTTTCATACAAAATGAGATGTTAATTATTAAAAGCATTCAAGGTTCTCCTTTTTTTAAAAAAATATTAGGCTACCAGGGTAATTAATAAAACTCTTACAAGTGTAATTTACAAGTGTAGCTATTGTTTTCGGACCCCGAAACAACGGCTACACTTGTAAATTATACTTATAAAAGTTTTATTAAATTGACCCCAGGATTAAACACCAAGTGGTAGTGAAAGTAGTAATTGAACTTTGTAACTTGCAAACTTGCTCTGAAATCTGAAATCATACCTGAGATTTCAAATAAAACTTACACTTCATGCTCCTTCTATTTTAGAAATCATGAGTATGATTCTTATCACTCTGACCACTCAGTTCAATTTTATCACCATTATAATAATCAAAATGGCAAAGACAAACCTCACTACATACCTTGTATCTGTGTTCTCCTCTTTCTTTGCCAGTGCAAAGCGATTCTTGGGGATTTCTATGAAGTAAATATTCTAACTTAAGCTGAGTTGAAGGCCCCTGAGCAAGAACGTCCTCTTGAAAATATAGTAATTCTGGAAAGTGAAAAACTGTTGCAGTTTGCTTTCGACTTAAGTAAAGAAACACTGTTGCAATCATTTCTCCTTGGTTTATGTGCTATTTCCCAGAAACTATGTACTGTAAATTATCTAATAGACCTACTCTCTCAATTAAATGCCTTTTGTTTAATAAATGCCCCCCACTATTGAGATATGCCTCCCTCCAATAAATGCCCCCTCTCCTGCCGACAATTTAAGCTGCAACTCTCCGTGCTGAATGAGCCAAACCTCCAAAAACCTTTCACCTGACTCGTGGTCCTTGAAAACCACAGTCAGGTGTTCCTTGACCCAACAAAGGGATCTGGGTGCTAACACAATACATGCACTTCCTCTAAAATAACAAACAGTACTGTAAAGCAGAAGGTGAAATACAAATCAAAAATGAAAAAGATCGGAAAGAACATTAACAAGCACTAGCTGAGTAGCCTTCTATAATATCTCTGAAATCACAAGCATCTCTAGCACTACAACTTAGTTTTTTTGTGAGTTAAGAACCTGAAGATAGCTTCATTGTGCCACTTTATACACTAGTTCATAGAAAGCCCCTCACCCCATCCCAGAGGAATAGCGGGGCATTAGACTTGGCCTGCCTTCTAAACGTAACAAATTCCCTGCTATGAAGAGCAATTCTGAGCATCAAAACGTCACTTTTGTTCCCGCCCTCGGGGCAACACAATACTTCTTTTTCTTGCAACACAATACTTCTTTTTCTTGAGTTGAACTTTTGCAAATAGTTAAATCAACAATGCTGTTTAATTTCAATTGTACAATTGAATAATATTCTACCTTGAGTTAACTTCATGTCTCCAAGCAATTATGGTTACATGTTCATTAGCTCTCCAGTTTATATGCCCACCTAGAACAATATTCCAGTCATTTCTCTCAGAAGTAAGGTTATCAGTGCATGTAGAGTGATTTATGCTTCTGTTCCAATTCTATGCCTATTTCAAGATGGCGTTGAAGGCAAATCCCCAGCTAAACAATGCTAAATGTCCCCAATCAGGCACTGAATCTTGTGTCATATACAGTTGAAAACCCTGCATACTATGGCACAAGTGATAGTCTAAAATCGCTAAGTCTCCTGCTAATTCCCCAGGTATAAGGGCGTGGGGCTTTCCACTGACTACTGCATTGCAGTCCCCTAAATACTAAAATAGAGCTTCAGGCTTAATGACTTTGGTTTCCTTTATACTCGGTGTACTTAATGGAGTTTATTGCAATCAAAGCAATGTATTTTTAAACTATTTCACCCAGCGACTTTAAAAACAAATTTAAAATGAATGAATCAGCAAACTTTATTAATTCTAGAGAAGGAATTTTCACTGGAGCTCAACAATTTAGCACGCTCATTCAATTGCACAATATTATATTCGACAATCATTGGCTGAGGTCGATTCTGATATGAAGAATTATGCAGATCTAGGAAGATGTTATCACCTCAGCTTCCGAGATCTGCATAAGGGCGGTTGTCAGTGTTCACAGGCTATGCGCTCTAGACACGCTCATATATGCCGTGCAAATTACCTTTCTCCTTCTGTTCTGTACGGCATGGTGCTATAAATGGATACCTAAATAAAAGGCTTTGTCCTCTACTCCCAGCTGTTACCAAAACAATGCTAACAGGATCGCAAAGATCCATTCACCAACAACTCGGTTTTAACTCTGGGCGGCCGCCATCTTCGATTTTTCTCGCCACAGTCTCCATGTCGGTACACTTTAAGAATCATATATGAGGTACCTACCCGGTCTCCTATTTCCACCCGCTGTTCGAGAAATGAGCCTGCGCTCATCCTCCCTCACCGAGAGTGCGGCGGAATCGGAAATCGAGCCTTCAGTCCCAGGCAGGGTCTAAAGTTGGAGTTTGGCAAGTCTTCCCCGCCAAGGAGAATCGTTTGAGCGGATTTTCTCCATATCTGTTGTGTATCCTTTTTATTTATTTATTTATTTATTGTTTTTTATTTATTGGATCTTAACTTACGCATTAGTTGATCACGTGATCAACTTTCTGTAAAAACGAAAACAGTTCGCTTTTGAAAAAAATTGTTAGCAGAAACTGAAAGAGCATATTAAAATAAGGTAATCTGTAAATTTTCAGCCGTATATCTCAGCAAAAGTAGAGACCGCAACGGCTGCCGAAAATTAGAAGGATTTGTATGGGAAACACAACTCTTACTACCCAGTCACGCTTAAGTGGTTTTCCATACAAGCCCCTATGAAATTAAAAAAAAAAAGTCGAACTGTCGTAAAATATTTCCAATTTCTTAAGCATTATGGGACTCCTTTCCTTTTTATTCATAACAGGCAATTTTCGACAGCCGTTGCGATCGCTCCTTTTGAGATATACGGCTGAAAACTCACAGGTTACTTGGTTTTTGCGGTATGCTCTTTCAGTTCATGCTACCAAAACTTTCCAAAAGCGAACGGTTTTCATGTTTACAGAAAGTTGATCATGTGACTAACTATTGCAAAAGGCCTATTTCACTAATTTTTCGGGCGAATCAAGAGGAAGTAATGTCAAGCTCGATGGAAAAGCAAACCGTCGCTCTCAGTGGTTCTGCAGGGAACCAGTGAAACGAAATGGACTGGAAAACTCAAACTAACGAATTTTACATTATAAAAGGGAGACAAAAATTCGCAGGGAAGCGATTCAGTCTCAGTGGTGTTTCAAATCAGCTTAATAAGGATTATTTTACGGGTTAATTTATGGTTTTCTTGAAGGTCATCACTAAACCAGCATTGAAAGATCGACCGTTGTTTAGACTGCGAGCAAGCTCTCCATTTGGAGGATTTCGTAAAAACTACTCGCGCTTGTTGGATATGAGATGATTACAGCCATCTCATATCCAGGCAACTCATATCCACACAGCCTCATATCCATACTCATATCATCCATCCAGCCAACTCATATCCACTCGTGGAACAATTGTTAAAGAGATGCGAAAACTAGAAGAACAATGAGCCAGCGATCCCGTTTTTCCAGCACAATTTCCCGTAATGTTCGATGGAATTATTGTGGAAATAGTGATCCCTTAGGGCTGCTTGATTTTGGAATTTTACGTAGTAGTTAAACTCTCATTTGTATCTCGGCTCAGGTTGTCCAGAGGGCTGGAAAGAATTTGAATCTCTTTGCTACTTTTACGTCGACAAAAGCAAGATGGCGATGAGTCATGCAGGGCCAAGAAGAATGCAAGCAATTAGGAGTCACCCTTTCAGTTATCAAATCAGCCAAAAAAAACGACTTCCTTCTAAGTTTGATGGAGGACAACGGTGATCCATGGCTTGGGATGGAAGCATCCAATCGTTACAGCGAATTCAAAAGGCCGCCTATGTGGATAGCATCGACCTAAACCAAATTTGGCGACCAAATCTTAGCTGAAAACATGGGTTTGATGGGAATGCTCATTGTCGCGGGCTTACAAAGCAGGTCATTATTCAGTCGATGCTATCAAGTTTTCTTTTCCGCACTACAATGTATGGGTCTTGTAAAGCCGTGCATAACGACTTGTTAAGAGCAGACCTGAACATTATCGTTAATCTGTGTTCCATTTATACCAGAAAATGATTTTGTGATGAGATTTATAGTGGCTACAGTGTGTAGGCTCTTAATCTTTGTATCTTATCTACTTTAGTAATCACTTAAAGACGTTCATTCTGAAAGCAAAAACGGGGCGAAAGTGAACTTACCGTAAAAGTCCGAAAAAAAGCCCCGAGGCTTATATTTTTCAAAGGCCCTTTCGGAGGGACTTATTTTTAGAGGGGCTTGTATATACGGAAGGAAAATTGTGTTTCAAAATCGGCTAGGCTTATACTCAAAGGGAAATTTAAGTCTCGAAATTAAAGGGGCTACCTTTTTAAGTTGGAAGGAAATTTATGTCAGTAATTTGCAGAAAGTTTTTACTGAAACTCGCCTTGAGGACGTAGATTTTACTAAAACTCAGCCATGCAAGCACTTTATCTCTATGGAACGAGGAAATCCAACCCAGGAGTTAAGAGAGAACAACGCGCGCAAACAGCAACATACCGTGACACTTTTTGAGTACAATTATTTGGCACACGTAATAGTTCTTTGGCAAATGCAAAAATTTATGTGTTACTGTACAGTTTTTGCTTTGATTTATTATGAATTTGAGGGCACTTCCCAAGCACTAGCCCCCAAGGGCTTATATTTGGCGGTAACTATAGCTTGCGAACGAAATTAACCTATTTGTTACCAAAACCAAGCACTGAAGTTCTTCGCAAGTCCACTTATTACAAAGCCGTATCTCTATGGAATTCTCTTGACAATTATACGCGTGCAATCTCAAGCAAAAGCTTATTTAAAAACTCTCTTAAACGCAGAACTTCATGCGAATAGCTTAGTTTATAGATACATATTTTCAAATAGGTTACATCTTTTTCTAAATTTTAATTAGTTTTCAAGCTTTTTATTCATTTGTGAACTGTGTTTAATTTTTAAATACACGACCACATCTGCTCCGCTGTATTTTTTATCTTGTTTAAATGAATGTTGTTGTTGTTGTTGTTGTTGTTGCGCCCATGATCGCCCCAGGGGAAAGGATTTGGCTCCTTTTTTTTTACAGGAAATTCATAAATTGGCTACTAAAACATTGTGAAATATGGAAGAAAGGCCAATTTAAGCACTATAAGCCGCCCAATATCTCAGAATTAGAAGATAACTAAAGAAATTGCTCAGAATGCAAAAAGTTGGTTGAAACGAATTCGGAAAAAGTTGCTCGAAAATGTACCAGAACTTGCCAAAAAGTTTCCCAGCAACTTGTGGAAAACCCTAGACCATGACTAATCGAGAAAAACAATGAATTTTACTTCTGCTTTGCTCTGAAATTTCTCAAATTAAAAAAAACATCTAGACAATTCTGTTGCCAGGTTCTCAAGAGAGGTTCTTGGTTGGAAATGAAATATTTAAGACAATCGGTCATTATCAGGGATGGGTTTCCCCTATTTGCCAATAACCTTTGTTTTTCTTTCGAAAGGTAATGCTAATAAATGTCAAACAATTATAACAATATAATCAAGAAACACCTGAGACTTTTGGCATAATTCCCGGCCTCATGCTCAGACTAAAAAGAGCTTGAAATTAGTGCTAACTTAAATTAGTTTGAACAGTCGGGCGGATAAAGATATACTTATCATGATCAACTTAAGGCAAGAAATTTCAGGAAAACCGTTGACATTTTGGTAAAATTTCCTTCCAACTTAAACCACAACGGTGCTTTTCAGTAAAGAAAACATCAACATCAGCGTTAACTGTACGCTTTTTCTTAAGGTCAATGACCTGCTTTTGTAAAACTCATTAATAATTGCTACCATGGACAAAGGTTTGTATAGTGTTCCCAATAACTTTAAAATTGGGTTAAAATTTCTGACACTTTTTGTTTAGTCAAGAGAACAAATCAAGCTTTAGATAGTGCCACTCAGTAGGAACGCGCGTAGGCTGCAATCTGTCAGTTGATAGTCGAGAGACGGGAAAAGAAAGAAAGGACAAACCACGGGCAAAGGACGAGGATTAAGAAGAGACAGGGAGCGAAAGGAAGAGCCTGAAACCGTTTTTGTCCCAAAGCCTCCTGTCCCTCTTAGTAGGCATGGCTTGCCAGGCCTGGGCGTTGTTTGTCATCAACTGAAACACTCTTCTTCGTGTTTATATTACACCCCACCATGCATGCAATATTTGTAGGAGAGGATGCAACAAAAGTTAATGAAATATCATGATGATAAGGAACAGCTGCCCAACTCAGTAGCAGCACGTTAGCGATTCCTTTTTTTGTTTTATAATCATGAATTTTTAAGAGGATAAGGGAAACTAGTGAATATCTGCTTGGACATCTACTATCTCTCTCTCCCTCTCAGTCTCTCCCGCTTTTTCTGTGTTGCAAGCCATTCCACTAAGCAAGAAGAGAGTTATAACAGATCAGCTCATAGAGAAATTTATATGACCCATCTTGAAGCTTTATTTCCAGATGACAAAGAAGGCGTTAGTGTTGTTTATTTCAAACACTCCTTTTTCGGCATCATTTTTGTTCCTCTTGATGACACTGGTGTTTTTCGCAAACTTGGACAAAGCAAAGACATTAGATGCTCACCTGCGCAAAGCAAGAATTTTCAAAACTCTGGAAGGTAAGGAATGAATTATCGTTATTTGATAGAAGAAGAGAGGATTGATTAGCGCAGCGCAATCTCAACGTTTGAGAAACGTTTGAGAAATATGTCTTGGCATATGTACAAAGTAATTTTCAAGGAGTTATAACTCTTCTAGTGGGGCTAATTCAACTCCTTACAGTGCAGTTATTTTTTGGGGAATTATTTTAACTCCAAAAAGGAGTTTATAAAGAACTCTTTTTCAGGAGTAAAAGTGACGCCAGTTATTGAGGAGTTAAAATAACCCCAAAAAGGAGTTATCCTGTACCTAAAACTTTTTACTCCACTTTCAGCGTTAAATTAACTCCAAAAGGAGTAAAAACAACCCATGTAAGGAGTAAAAATAACCCCATTTCGGAGTCATTTTAACTCCAGACTGGGAGTAATAAGAACTCTTTTTCAGGAGTAAAAATGACCTCAAATTCGGAGTTAAATTATGAGTTAAAGTAACCCCCAAAAAGGGGTTATCCTGCACCTAAAATTTTTACTCCAGTTTTGGAGTTATAATAACTCCCTAAAAATTACGGTGTACACATTTTTACTTCTATCTATGTAAGTTCTTTGACCTTCTCGGTATCATTACTTCAATCTATGTCTTGGGACTATTTCTACACTATTAATTATATCCCCATTTTTGCATAGTGTATTGTAATTTCTTTCCCTGCCTTCGACATAATGCATCCTGATTACTTCTATTTTTGCCTTGCCGAAATAACTATTCTGTTAGAACTATTTTTCTATCATTGATTCCAACAAGTGCCTCGGTGACAGCAAGCAAGGGGAATTCAATGGGGAATGATAATACAGATGTCTTATTCTATCACAGTCAGTGATCATGCGACAGCAAAGGAAATAAGATGTGCTCTGTTTGGAACTTTCAGGCTTTAAACTCGTTGGACACGTATTGGAAACCTTGGCTGTTGACGAATATATCTGCGGACAACGATGCCTCAGAAATGAAAAATGCCTGTCTTACAACAGCCATTCTGATGATGACCATGACAACAACAAATGTGAGCTTAGTGATCAAAACAGACCGGATAAGCTTATTCGCAGCCCTGGGTTCACCTATCATATCAAAGGTAAACATAAATAAAGTTCTACCATGGATTCTACTAAGGCAAATAATTAGCCACAAGTCCTGTTTTGAGAAAGGTTGTCAAAAGATATTAAGGGTGGTTTTGAATCCACTGTTCTTCAAAGAAATTTGAAAGAATGGTACGAGAGATTTGTCAGTGCTAATTAGGAAAGCAACAAAAATAGGTTCGACAGCTACAAAGTCACGTGTATTGATAATATCCCATATTACCTTTCGGGATTGTCATGTGCACATTTTTCCCGACAACCTTTCCCGAAATCGCTGTAAATGTTTGGATAAGTGAACAAATTAATGAAATATAGACTACACCGCCTGGGCATGAATCCTCACAGTGTGCGTTCTTTACCCCGGCCCCTTTCAAATTGATGAGGAAGAATGAAAGAGGCAACATCAACGTCTTTAATCGCAGCTAGTGCCCGACCCAAATGATACAAATTTGACGGTTGATTCAGACATCAAACTTTTAAGATGTCGGACTCAATTCATTTTCACGATGTGCAATGGTTTACAATCATCTCACCAGTGAAAATGAATTATAGCAATTTGTGTATTAGGTTCGGTACTGATGATAACTTCGACGTAAACGAAGTCGCTCCACGGTCAGAATTACCAAGTGAGCCACTCGATCTCAATTCATGGGTTGACCCAAATTAGAAATGTCGGACTCAATTGATTCAAACGTCGATCTCCTCGCCATGTACTTAAATTAGCTGAGGGGATTAGATTGGGTGATATGAAAAGCTCGTCAAATCGTACTAATTGTAATTTTTCACGTACAAGAAAGCCGCAGATATGGTGCCTTATTCTGCATTTTTTCAACCTACAGTTGGAAAAGGCTGGTATTCCTCGTATCCTGGTCATTCCTGCAAAGACATCTATGACTCTGGCGACGCAAGAGGTGACGGAGAATACTGGATTGACCCTGAGAAAAATGGAAATCCTTTTAAAGTCTTTTGTGACTTGACCAGAGCAGGTGGTGAGTATTGGTGTTCTATAGTTATCACTGAAAGGACTTACACCCTCAGATCAGGCTATAAGATGGATGACCGGGGACCCGGTTATCCAGACCCTGAGATAAGGAGGGGGCCCGGTCTCAAAAAAAACTTTTTTTTGGCCCATCGGGCCTCAGTTTCGTCTAAAAGTAACGGTGGGGGGAGGGGGGGAGCCGGGTACCCCGGCCCCCCCTGGATCCGCCACTGCATTGTTATTAAGTCGAGGAAATTTCGTCACCACAAACATGTCTGTTCAGTGTGACATGACTTAAGTATTTTCAGCTGGAGAACGGAATTGCCTTATGCGTTGTGATATCCCGAAACCTCCAGATAACCTAGACCTGTATTAAATTCATCATAAACCAGAATAGAATATTCACTCAACATAAATTTCTAATGACATGGCTTGCTAGAGATTCCGTACAACTTGGTTTTGATGGTAAAAATTGCCTAACTTAACGTTAAGTTTCACTCTGTTTTGAGTGTTATTATAAATATTTTAGTCTGAAATGTCGTACGTCTCCATCCTCCTCGCCCCCCACTGGTTAGCGGGTGGAGACCCCCCTATGGCATTTCCGGTTATTAATATTTTTTCAAGCCAAAGAAATACGAAAGGTGACAGGCGTTTGGCAGTAACGAAGGGGAAAGAGGGAGACCGTATGTTGAGGCCTCAAATGTAATTAGTGACCCTAAATGTAATAAAGGTCCAAATTGTAATAACTTTTGGCCCCAAATGTAATAAAGGTCCTAAATGTAATAACTTTTGGCCCTAAATGTAATAACGGGTCCTAAGTGTAATTCTTTCAGCTCTTATTATGCTTATGGTCATAAGAAGATTTCATAGTGTTGGCTTTCAGCCTTATTACAGGTTAACTGAGCGCATGAATGTGTCTAGGGAGGAATCACTAAATACACCAGGCAGATCCCCTATGTAGCCTTTTGAGTAACAACTTATTATTATTCATGTGGTGAAATCCTGGAGAAAAAAGTTAGCATAAAAATTCACTTCAAGAAGTACTCCTGGTAGAAGTTAAAATCAAAGTCAGGAAGTCCGAAAAACTATCAAGATATACTGCCCTTAATATCTTGCTGTTTATATATAACTTCGTGTTCACATGTACAGCATTCTGTATGGACCGACCGATATACTCTTTTGGAAAATGATAAAAAAAAAAATTTCTTTTTTTGGCGCAACATTAAAAAACCCCATAGACAAAAGTAGTTAATTTACTACCACCTTTTCTAATGCACATTAATACTTCCTTCAGATCAATTACTAAATTACTACTGTATTTTGAAAACTTTTGTGTAGATTCCAGTTGTTTATAACTCGCGTTTTACGATGTAGGGATCATGTAGTAGGAAACACGATCGAGACGTAGTTAATTTATAAGTGTTTCTCCTACTTCTTCTAGCCGCTTTCTAAGTTTATGAATATCTATGAAGACTACATTAGGGCGAAGAAAGTGAATCGCCCGGGGAATCGCCAGCTGGCTATAAAATTAATATCGCATCAGACCGTCGCATGTTTCAGTCAGGGGGTTGGGGTTGGGGTTGTTATACTACATACATGCAGTATACTGTTAAGACTTCCATTACATTTAGGGCTAAAACCTATCACACATGTAATATTATGAGACGCTTTATTACATTTAGGGCCAAAAGTTATTACATTTAGGACCTTTATTACATTTAGGGCCAAAAGTTATTACACTTAGGACCTTTATTACATTTAGGGTCATTTATTACATTTGAGGCCTCAACACCCTTCCTCTGTCCCTCGATTAATCGCCTCCCTCGAATAATCGCCCCCCCCCCTCCACCCCCTCCACCCCTCTCGCCATCTTCTCTTTCTTCTATCCCCTGCCTGTCATGTTGAAGTGGAATCTGATCAAGTCATCAAAAATGTTCAGTTAATTTGGTGTGATAATTTTTTTATTTAATGGAGTAATTAAAATATTTAAGGCACGACTTCCAGTCAGCAGTATGTGAAATAATCGCGTTTCTACGAATAATCGCCCCCTTTTGGTGCGAAAAAAAAAATAATCGCCTCCGACTGTTATTCGAGGAAATACGGTATTCTCGGGAAACACTGTGAGGAGTATTGTTTAACAACTCAAAGAGAACGGCTGCCTAGGAGACTGCAATCCCAGTCATAATTTGTTAAAACACTTCCGGAAAACATAATATCTACTTAGTCGTTTCAGGAATATACGTACTACTACCCTCCCCTTCCCGCAATATTGGTTTCACGCGTTTTCTTGGGAATAAACGTCTTCGAAATCAACATTGAAGAGGAAGGGAAGGAACAATTAGCAAGCGTTTCAACAATAATGAATGGGAATGTAGCTTTTTCCTCTCCACTCCCTACCATGTCCTTTCCTGTCCAGATATTCTCTCCTGCCTCTTGATCCAGTCCCCATACTTATTTACTGTTTAATAAAAATTTCAGGAGGTTGGCTTCTTGTTCTCAACATTGTGATTAACGACCAGTATAACCTCCCTCAGTTGTTACTCGAGACTTCATACCGCAGAGTGGACAGCTATAAAAGCAACAATTTAGTTCTAATGAACAGCGCCCTGAATGACCTGAAAACCCTTATGCCCTTCACTCAAATGCGGTTCCACTGCAGAAAGCCAAATGGATCAACATTTCATATAGTCACGACCGGAAACAGCACCGGTGAAGCTGTTATTCAGTACTTTACGGGGCAAACAAACACCATGCCAGACTCCTGTGGATCGTACATTAAACTTTGGGATGACAATTCAAACCTTGCAAACCGATGTGCCGACTGGGGGAATGAGAACAACGATTACTATGTGGGTAAATGGGGGCATGAAGGCATGCGTGAATTGTATGATCACCCTGCATTTAGTGTACTTGCATATCACTGGGTCACTTTTGACAGATGGGAATGTGATGACTTTAAACCGAGTTCATTATATGATTATCTACCACCTAATGGAACCTTTTGGAAGATTTTTGTGCGTTAAAAGCATCAGTTAATAGTGTGGAATGGTTATTACTCCCGGTTGACTGCTCTGTTATATGTTGTTGTGTTGACTTCAAACCACCATAGTTAGTAGAGGAGGCTGTGAAAGCCGGCAAACATCAAAGATGTAAAACAACAGTGCTGTAGTTTATGTTGGAAGCTCCCTGACCGCGCACAATCCTTTTGTTCACAAATTGTAAATGAATAAATTAATGCGATGTTTCTGTTGGTCAATAAGTTCAAAATGATAGAAATGATTGAAAGTTGTGTACTGTCGGGTCCAAAAAAGCTAACAACCATATAACAAAGGAGTCTAACGGGTTTCATAACCATTCCACTATGATAACTATTAAACAGCAATATCCTCGTTACATAACCCCTTTAACTGTGCACAAATTTTTATTTCAGTCCTATCCTATATTTTCCGTGACAGTTTAAAAAACAAACAAACAAACAAAGGATTGTGCACCGTCAGGGAACTCCAGAAAAAAACTGACAAAAAAAAAAACAAAAACATCAACTAAAGCACCTTTGCTTTGACTCCGCTTTGATGTTTGCTGCCTTTCTTAAGCAGTCTCTTCGAATAACTATGTTATTAATGTTACTGAATGAAACGAAGTCACTCCTTCTGTGAACTGCTATTTTGGATCATGTGTGACATCAAAATTATTTCTTTCTATTATTTTCCCGACTGCATGATCAAACATTGTATCAGTGTCATGCAAGACAGCATGAGGTGGCTAAAGGATCAAACATTTGCTCGTGATGTAAAATTTTGAATGAAAATGTAATTGAATCTAGATCAAATGTCGAAAGCAATTCTACCCAGACATATCTCTGTGAAGATGCGCAAAGGCAGCAAAGAAAGGCGGAAAGGAGAAAACGGACTTCGTCTCTCATTTTTGTCCTTCCCATGTTCCCTTGCGTTTCGTCACCAGTCATTCACGTGTCCCTCGCGTTTCGCGGTCGCCTCTGTGCGTCTGAGGAGAAGGCAACGGTTAAACGGTAAAGCGCACTCTTCCAAAGCGATGTTGGACGAACATGTTTAATCGTTTAGCCTTGGCTTGACGACGGAAAGCACGAGTGGCTGGAATTTGTTCAGGCGTTGTTGCCACTTTACATTGCTCTCCTACTCTTGATTCATGAAAATTAGAAACTTTCCGGCGGCTTCAACGCAAAAACCCGGGGAACGAGATCGCAGTGACTCGAGCTTTCCATCATTTGACGGATGACGTCTTGCATGATCCACAGCTCATGCCGCAAGACGCAAAATTTTCACAATTTTTGGAGAAGAAAGTCGGTGTTATGATCATATGGTCCTTGAAGGTTTTTAGAACCTGCGTATTTTGATTTTTGATTATTATGTCTTTTCTGGAACGACCTTGTAAGCAGGATAGGTTTATTTGTTGTTGCGTTCTTATGGCATTTATTATAAATGCAATGATTTTTTAACTTGACTTTTGGAACTTTCATGGAAAGGTAAATGTAATATTTAAATATATCAATATTGGGCCGGCTATACGTATTTCACGTCGGTTGAGGTAATAGACTACACAAATCTATTAAATAGCAACCACTTCTCCTGGTTTGGGAAATTAAAAACTAAAAGAAAACAAAAAAAACGAACAGTTTTTCTTAATTTGGGCTCGATACTCAGCAATGCTAAATGGGAGCAAGATAACTTGTTATGGCTAAGAAGTATATAAATTTGGGAATTAAATATTTTGCTTCGTTAACAGTATATAGGAAAACTTATCATCGTGGAAGCAATTTCGTTCTACACCTCAATATTATTTATAGGTGCAAAGTCTATGCAGAAGGATTATGGCTGTTATGAGCACCAGGTCTAGGAACAGGAAATGAATTTGCCGATAGCAGAATTTTGTAATGGCGACTGTTGAATTATGTTCTCTCTTGACAAAAGTGAATAAACTTTTACGAAACTCTACGGGAACCAACTTACGATCATTTTCAAACCTTTAATTGATCTAAAAATAAATTTGGTGAAATTTACAAATAACTAATGTTAATATCAGCAGGACTGCTTTTAGCCAATAAGATTAAAGAATTTTATATCCATTCTATTGTTGATATATTAAATTCTGCAAGCAGAATACTGCAATGCTGATCGTACTACGTGATGTCTTGCAGAGTTAATTTTCACGTAGTACGATCAGCATTGCAGTATTCTGCTGGCAGAATTTAATATGTCTACTTTTCACTTTTGTTGATCAGGTCTTTATAGATCCTACGTTCTTCGGCATATTCGTTTGCGGTCCCATGCAGTCCTTTGTGGTTAATGTTTGTTCTCTATTGTTGATAGTTTATTTTAAGCGTCTTAATGTTTGTAAATAAAGTTAACAAGTGTTAAATAGCAGCAACAACATAAGCGTTTCAGTCTATGGAGACAAGGAATATTAAAGATGACACTACATCGACAGAATTTTTGCGATTATTCGAAGCATCTCAATTTGTTAAAAGTAGGTGAATTCCGGCGAATCAAGAGGAAGTAATGTCAGAGGGTCTGAATGGGGGGGGGGGGGTCCACTTGTCGGTTGTCGGTTAAAATTCAGTAATTTTGTCGGTAGTCGGTTAAAATTTTCGATCTTTGTCGGTAGTCGGTTAAACTTTTCGATTTTCGTCGGTTGTCGGAAAAGAAAATTTCTCGACCGACCGTCCGTTAATCAAAGCTAAAACGAGTGTTTTTTTGAAGTTATCCGCTGACAATTTACTCGTTTTCAAATGATCGTAGGCTCACGTTTACTTTTTTTTAAAATTATTAATATGTTTTTTTATGTATTTCACGATTTTGATTTCAAACTGACCTCAGACGCAAAAAATTCAGCCATTTTTTTTTAAAATACAGGCGGGAAGACCTTTTCTCATCATTTTTCAAGACTTTGATCCCTAAGGAAAAGTAAAACGTTTGTATTAAGATTTAACTGAGAATGCATCATTTGATTGCGCCTAAACCGCTCATTAAATATTCTTTTATGCAACATGACTTGAGGATTCTTAGAGACACTTAAATACTCATTTGTTTTTATTTCATTATTGTTTGCCATTAAATGAATAATTAGTACTCAATAAATTCTTTAAAATCTTTTAAAATTTCTTCGCTGGCGCTTGTTTAGATTGGCCGTATAGAAATTTTTTGAACGGTTTCGAACTTCGATGGTCCTGAATATTGAATTTCCATTTGTCTCGACATAGTACTCTTTCTCCTCAGGGTAAAAAAAAACAATAAAAGATTGGTTTGCACGCACCCAGATTTCTTGGCAGAGAATTTGCCTTACTTGTCGAACAAAAAAAATTCGACCTAATTTGTTTTAATTTGTTTTCCACGCCTTATCTAATTACCTGGACTCTAGGCCGCTATATTTGGATTGTTTTCCAAAATTATTTTTACTGATTTGTGGAATACAAAAATTGTTTGCAAGGGATGACAGGCTGCTAAATCATCTATCCCTCTCATGTTTTGGTTCTATTTTTATTGAAAACTGCAAGGGATGTCCTTTGCCATGTCCTTTGCCATAATTTTCCTTTCTCAAAGAAATAGCACTTTAGGTGGTTCTTTAAAATTTTGGCAAGTTAGTGGTTGGTTTTGTATGAAATTCCACTTTTTCATTAAAGCTTCTTTTTTATAGACACTAAGGGCTGGTATTGTGTCACGAAAGGCAATATTTCAATCTTTTTCTTCCTGGCTGTTTTTTTTTTTCAGGAGCGCTGCCTTCCTTTCTGTGAGTTTTACTTCTAAAAGCAATTTTTCTTTCAAAGTTGTGTGGCTAGCCTCTGTCCATCAAGCGTTTTGAAATCTGAAATACTTCCTCAGAGGAGTTTGTTCGTAGGATTCTCAAGGCTTCTCGTTTGTCAAACAGGCGCTTTAACAATTGGTGGGTGATAAGAGGTGAAAATGTATATACTGTAAGGTTTCCGTTTCAAATGCGTCTTTACGTCAAGGATAGCTTTTTCTCATCTTTTCGCTGAATGTTGTACCTTGGTATACAACCGTTTCTGAAAAGAATGTCTCATTTTCAGATATTTTGCCGTGAATTAATTCATAGGAGGGCATGTAAGTTTACTTGTTCCGCGAAGAAAGCTACGATGTCTGGTTTACTTATGTCCCATAGGGAAAAAATGTCATTTATGTAGCGTTTTCAAACAGTTGGTTTAAAGACGGTTTTGCTTAAACTTTGTGTTTCAATATGTGCCATGAAAATGTTGGAAAGGAAACTGCTGTCTTTGTGCTCATCGCGGTAACGTGGGTTTGTACTGATAGTTCTTTACATTAAACGGGAAAGAATTTTCTTTGAGGATTAATGTAAGCAGAAAACGTTCGGTTTTTCCACCTTTTACTTTTCAATAAAATTTATAAAGTCGGTAGCATATTTAAGGAGTGACTTTGTGATTTTGATATTGGCTGTAGCAATGTACCTGTATCAACAACAAAAAAGGGAAATTCTTTCCCTTAGGCCATCTGATGAGTCAAATTTAAAGAGGTTACTTCCTCGAGCTAACGGTTAGAATAAATACAATGCTCTTTTTTCTGGAAACAAATATTGATAATATCAGCCCATGTCGGTAGTCGGTTAGTATTTTTCCTGTCGGTAGTCGGTAATTTTTTACTCATTTTGTCGGTAGTCAGCAATATTTTTCGCCCTTTGTCGCTAGTCGGTTAACCCCATTCACACCCTCATGTCAAGCTCGATGGAAAAGCAAACGGTCGCTCTCAGGGGTTCTGCATGGAACTAGTGAAACGAAATGGACTGGAAAACTCAAACTAACGAATTTTACATTATAAAAGGGAGACAAAAATTCGCAGGGAAGCGATTCAGTCTCAGTGGTGTTTCAAATCAGCTTAAGGTGGCTCGATACAGTTTTTCAGGGCCAATACCTCCCAAGTTTGAGCATAAACTACGTCGCCATAAACAAAGTTTTGTAAAAATTGCCACCCCAGTTGTATTAGATAAAGATGAAAATTTGTTGTGATCAGGGTTGCAACGGCATCGGAGTTGTCATAGCAACGAAATGACGCTATTACCTATTCTACTTGCAGCAGTATACCTCGGCACTGGGAACTGTTCTTCCAAAATCGTTCACGGAAGCTTTTTCCTCCAATAGCGGCCTCGATGTTCGTGAAGTTTAAGCGTAATCTGTAAGAGCGTTATTGAGATATTTTGGGATGAAGTTTTTGTGGTTAGAAACACGGTAAAAAATGGACAATATTGTTGTTTGGCCGTTATCTGTAGAAAATGAAGCGCTTTTTAAATGCAATTTCGCCTCGTAGTAGTTTCAATCTTTTTAAAAACGTGTGTGAAAGATCATGGAGATAGCTCCAGCCGATTGCTAGAAAGAAGGGTTTTATTAACATGTATAGAAGCACTCTGGTTAGCAGTTTTGTAAACATTTTAGTCTTCTTGAACAAATTAGCGAATAGTTTTTAAACCGCTCGATAGATTTTTTTTAAAATTTAATATTCTTGAGATTAACCTTTCTTTTATATGACCTTTTAGTTTCAAGATTATTGATGCATTGTAAGGCAGTAAAATAATTCGTTACTTTTTTATCGGACGTTTCGTTATTACAGGTGAAAGCCTCTCATTATTCAAGGCATTGTCTCCAAGTTTCATTTTCACGTGAACAACAATAACTAACAATGCATTTGACATATGCAAAAATGCTAGCTATTGTTATGCGCGAAAATATGAAACTTGGAGACAATACCCTGAATAATGAGAGGCTCACATTTGTAAACACAAAATTTCTGCCAAAATATTGGCGAATTGTAGCCCTTATTTTACTGCCTTACAATATATCAATAATCTTGAAACTAAAAGGTCATATAAAAGGAAGGTTAATCTCAAGAATCTTAAATTTTAAAAAAAATCTATCGAGCAATTTAAAACTTATTCGCTAATTTGTTAAAGTAGACCAAAATGTTCAAAAACCGCTAACAAAGGCGACTCGATACATACTAATCAAATCCTTCTTTCTAGCAATCCGCTGGAGCTATCTCCACGGTCTTTCACACACGTTTTAAAAAAGATTGAAACTACTATGAGGTGAAATTGCATGTCAAAAGCGCTTCATTTTCTACAGATAACAGCGGAATATCAAGATTATCCATTTTTTACCGTATTTCTAACCACAAAATCTTTATCCTAAAATATCTCGATAACGCTCTTACAGATTTCGCTTAAACTTCACTAACATTGAGGCGGCTACTGGAGGAAAAAGCTCCCGTAAATGATTTTGGAAGAACAGTTCCCAGTGCCGAGAAATACTTCTGTAAGTAAAATAGGTAAAAGCGTCATTTCGTTGCTATGACAACTCCGATGTCATTGCAACCCTGATCATAATAAATTTTCATCTTTATCTAATACAACTGTGGTGGCAATTTTTCCAAAACTTTGTTTATGGCGACGTAGATTATCCTCAAACTTGGGAGGTATTGGCCTTGAAAAACTGTATCGAGCCACCTTAATAAGGATTATTTTACGGGTCAATTTATGGTTTTCTTGAAGGTCATCACTAAACCAGCATTGAAAGATCGACCGTTGTTTAGCCTGCGAGCAAACACTAAATTTGGGGGATAAAAACTACTCGCGCTTGTTGGATATGAGATGATTACAGCCATCTCATATCCAGGCAACTCATATCCACACAGCCTCATATCCATACTCATATCATCCATCCAGCCAACTCATATCCACTCGTGGAACAATTGTTAAAGAGATGCGAAAACTAGAAGAACAATGAGCCAGCGATCCCGTTTTTCCAGCACAATTTCCCGTAATGTTCGATGGAATTATTGTGGAAATAGTGATCCCTTAGGGCTGCTTGATTTTGGAATTTTACATAGTAGTTAAACGCTCATTTGTATCTCGGCTCAGGTTGTCCAGAGGACTGGAAAGAATTTGAATCTCTTTGCTACTTTTACGTCGACAAAGGCAAGATGGCGATGAGTCATGCAGGGCCAAGAAGAATGCAAGCAATTAGGAGTCACCCTTTCAGTTATAAAATCAGCCAAGGAAAACGACTTCCTTCTAAGTTTGATTAAGGACAACGGTAATCCATGGCTTGGGATGGAAGCATCCAATCGTTACAGCGAATTCAAAAGGCCGCCCATGTAGTGGATAGCATCGACCTAAAACAAATTTGGCGACCAAATCTTACCTGAAAACATGGGTTTGATGGGAATGCTCATTGTCGCGGGCTTACAAAGCAGGTTTCAGTCGATGCTATCAAGTTTACTTTTCCGTACTACAATGCATGGGTCTTGTAAAGCCGTGCATAATGACTTGTTAAGAGCAGACCTGAACAATATCGTTAATCTGTGTTCCATTTATACCAGAAAATGGTTTTGTGATGAGATTTACAGTAGCTACAGCGTGTAGGCTCTTAATCTTTGTATCTTATCTACTTTAGCAATCACTTAAAGACGTTCATTCTGAAAGCAAAAACGGGGCGAAAGTTAACTTACCGTAAAATTCCGAAAAAAAGCCCCGAGGCTTATATTTTTCGAAGGCCATTTCTGAGGGATTTATTTTTAGAGGGGCTTATATACGGAAGGAAAATTGCGTTTCAAAATCGGCTACGCTTATACTGGGAGGGAAATTTAAGTCTCGAAATTAAAGGGGCTAACTTTTTAAGTTGGAAGGAAATTTATGTCAGTAATTTGCAGAAAGTTTTTACTGAAACTCGCCTTGAGGACGTAGATCTTACTAAAACTCAGCCATGCAAGCACTTTATCTCTATGGAACGAGGAAATCCAAGCCAGGAGAGTCAAGAGAGAACAACGCGCCCAAACAACAACATACCGTGACACTTTTTTAGTACAATTATTTGACACACGTAATAGTTCTTTGGCAAATGCAAAAATTTATGTGTTACTGTACAGTTTTTGCTTTGATTTATTTTGAATTTGAGGGCACTTCCCAAGCATTAGCCCCCAAGGGCTTATATTTGGCGGTAACTATAGCTTGCGAAGGAAATTAACCTATTTGTTACCAAAACCAAGCACTGAAGTTCTTCGCAAGTCCATTTGTTACAAAGCCGTATCTCTATGGAATTCTCTTGACAATTACATGCCGGCAATCTCAAGCAAAAGCTTATTTAAAAACTCTCTCAAACGCAGAACTTCATGCGAATAGCTTAGTTTATAGATACATATTTTCAAATAGGTTAGATCTTTTTCTAAATTTTAATTAGTTTTCAAGTTTTTTATTCATTTGTGAACTGTGTTTAATTTTTAAATACACGACCTCATCTGCTCCTCTGTAATTTTTATCGTGTTGAAATAAATGTTGTTATTGTTGTTGCGCCCATGATCTGCCCCAGGGGGAAGGATTTGGCTCCTTTTTTTACAGGAAATTCATAAATTGTCTACTAAAACATTGTGAAATATGGAAGAAAGGCCAATTTAAGCACTAAAAGCTGCCCCGATATCTCAGAATTAGAAGATAACTAGAGAAATTACTCAGAATGCAAAAAGTTGGTTGAAACGAATTCGGAAAAAGTTGCTTGAAACTGTACGAGAACTTGCCAAAAAGTTGCCGTGCAACTTGTGGAAAACCCTAGACCATGACTAATCGAGAAAAACAATGAATTTACCTTCTGCTTTGCCGTAAAATTTCTCAAAATAAAAAAACTTCTGGACAATTCCGTTGCCAGGTTCTCAAGAGAGGTTCTTGGTTGGAAATGAAATATTTAAGACAATCGGTCATTATCAGGGATGGCGTTTCCCCTATTTGCCTATAACCTTTGTTTTTTTTCTCGAGCTCGAAAGGTAATACTAATGAATGTCAAACAATAACAATATAATTGTACTTTTCAGTAAAGAAAACATCAACATCAGCGTTAACTGTACGCTTTTTCTTAAGGTCAATGACCTGCTTTTGTAAACTCATTAATAATTGCTACCATGGACAAAGGTTTGTATAGTGTTACCAGTAACTTTGAAATTGGGTTTAAATTTCTGACACTTTTTGTTTGTCAAGAGAACTAATCAAGCTTTAGATAGTGTCACTCAGTAGGAACGCGCGTGGCCTGCAATCTGTCAGTTAATAGTCTAGAGAAGGCAAAAGAAAGGAAAGGACAAACCACGGGCAAAGGACGAGGATTAAGAAGAGACAGGGAGCGAAAGGAAGAGCCTAAAACCGTTTTTGTCCCAAAGCCTCCTGTCCCTCTTAGTAGGCTTGCCAGGCCTGGGCGTTGTTTGCGATCAAATTGAAACACTCTTCTTCGTGTTTATATTACACCATGCCCACCATGCATGCAATATTTGTAGGAGAGGATGCAACAAAAGTTAATGAAATATCATTATGATAAGGAACAGCTGCCCAACTCAGAAGCAGCATGTTAGCGATTCTTTTTTTGTTTTATAATCATGAATTTTTAAGAGGATAAGAAAAACTAGTGAATATCTCCTTAAACATCTACTATCTCTCTCCCTCTCAGTCTTTCCCGCTTTTTCTGTCTTGCAAGCCATTCCACGTACAAAGCAAGAAGAGAGTCATAACAGATGCTGATAGAGAAATTTATATGACCCATCTTGTAGCTTTATTTCCAGATGACAAAGAAGGCATTAGTGTTGTTTATTTCAAACACTCCTTTTTCGGCATCATTTTTGTTGCTCTTGATGATACTGGTGTTTTTCGCAAACTTGGACAAAGCAAATACTTTAGACGCTCACCTGCGCAAAGCAAGGATTTTCAAAACTCTCGAAGGTAAGGAATGAATTAACGTTATTTGATAGAAGGAGAGATGATTGATTAGCGCAAACCCAACGTTTGGCATGAGAAACGTTTGAGAAATATGTTTTGGCATATGTACAGAGTAATTTTCAAGGAGTTATAATAACTCCTGTAGTGGAGCTAATTTAACCCCTTACAGTGCAGTTATTTTTTTGGGAGTTATTTTAACTCCAAAAAGGAGTTTAAAGAACTCTTTTTCAGGAGTAAAAGTGACGCCAGTTATTGAGGAGTTAAAAAAAAACCAAAAAGGAGTTATCCTGTACCTAAACTTTTTACTCCACTTTCAGCGTTAAGTTAACTCCAAAAGGAGTAAAAAAAACCCATGTAAGGAGTAAAAATTACCCCATTTCGGAGTCATTTTAACTCCAGACTGAGAGTAATAAGAACTCTTTTTCAGGAGTAAAAATGACCCCAAATTGGGAGTTAAATTATGAGTTAAAGTAACCCCCAAAAAGGGGTTATCCTGCACCTAAAATTTTTACTCCATTTTTGGAGTTATAATAACTCCCTAAAAATTACGGTGTAGACATTTTTACTTCTATCTATGTAAGTCCTTTGACCTTCTCGGTATCATTACTTCAATCTATGTCTTGGCACTATTTCTACACTATTAATTATATCCCCATTTTTGCATAGTGTATTGTAATTTCTTTCCCTGCCTTCGACATAATGCATCCTGATTTCTTCTATTCTTGCCTTGCCGAAATAACTATTCTATTAGAACTATTTTTCTATCATTGATTCCAACAAGTGCCTAGGTGACAGCAAGCAAGGGGAATTCAATGGGCAATAATTTCTTATTCTATCACAGTCAGTGATCATGTGACAGCCAAGGAAATAAGATGTGTTCTGTTTGGAACTTTCAGGCTTTAAACTCGTTGGACACGTATTGGAAACCTTGGCTGTTGACGAATATATCTGCGGACAACGATGCCTCAGAAATGAAAAATGCCTGTCTTACAACAGCCATTCTGATGATGACCATGACAACAACAAATGTGAGCTTAGTGATCAAAACAGACCGGATAAGCTTATTCGCAGCCCAGGGTTCACCTATCATATCAAAGGTAAACATAAATTAAAAGTTCTACAATGGATTCTACTAAGGCAAATAATTAGCCTCAAGTCCTATTTTGAGAAAGTTTGTCAAAAGGTATTGAGGGTGGTTTTGAATTCACTGTTCTTCAGGGAAATTTGAAAGAATGGCACGAACGATCATGGACGTATGTTTGTCAGCGCTAATTAGGAAAGCAACAAAAATAGATTCGACAGCTACAAAGTCACGTGTATTGATAATATCCCATATTACCTTTCGGGATTGTCGTGTGCACATTTTTTCCGACAACCTTTCTCGAAATCGCTCTATATGTTTGGATAAGTGAACAAATCAATGAAATATAGACTACACCGCCTGGGCATGAGTCCTCAGAGTGTGCGTGCTTTACCCCGGCCCCTTTCAAATTGATGAGGAAGATTGAAAGAGGCAACGTTAACTTCTTTAATCGCAGCTAGTGCCCGACCCAAATGATACAAATTAGACGATTGATTCAGACATCAAACTTTTAAGATGTCGGACTAAATTCATTTTCACGATGTACAATGGTCTACAATCATCTCACCCGTGAAATTAAATTATTGTGATAGTAATTTTTTTGGGTTCGGTACATGATATTAAAGTTCGACGTAAACGAAGTCGCTCCACGGTCAGAATTACCAAGTGAGCCACTCGATCTCAATTCATGGGTTGACCCAAATTAAAAATGTCGGACTCAGGTGATTCAAACGCCGATCTCCTCGCCATGTACTTAAATTGACTGAAGGAATTAGATTGGATGATATGAAAAGTTCGTCAAATCGTACTAATTGTAATTTTTCACGTACAAGAAAGCAGCAGATATGGTGCATTATTGTGCGTTTTTTCAACCTACAGTTGGAAAAGGCTGGTATTCCTCGTATCCTGGTCATTCCTGCAAAGACATCTATGACTCTGGCGACGCACGAGGTGACGGAGAATACTGGATTGACCCTGGGAAAACTGGAAATCCTTTAAAAGTCTTTTGTGACATGACCAGAGCAGGTGGTGAGTATTAGTGTTCTATAGTTATCACTGAAAGGACTTACACCCTCAGATCAGGCTATAAGATGGATGACTGGGGGCCCGGTCATCCAGATCCTGAGATAAGGAGGGGGCCCGGTCTCAAAAAAAAAAAAATTGTTTTTGGCCCATCGGGCCTCAGTTTCGTCTAAAAGTAAGGAGGGGGGGGGGGGGAGAAGCCGGGTACCCCGGGCCCCTCCCCTGAATCCGTCACTGCGTTGTTATTAAGTCGAGGAAATTTCGTCACCACAAACATGTGTGTTCAGTGTGACATGACTTAAGCATTTTCAGCTGGAGAAAGGAATTGCCCTTATGCGTTATGATACCCTGAAACCTCCAGATAACCTAGACCTGTATTAAATGCATCATCAAACCAGAGTAGAATATTCACTCAACATAAATTTTTAATGACATGGCTTTCCAGGGATTCCGTACAACTTGGTGTTGATAGTAAAAATTGCCTTAACGTTAAGTTTCACTCTGTTTTGAGTGTTATTATAAATATTTTATTCTGAAATGTCGTACGTCTCCATCCTCCTCGCCCCCCACGGGTTAGGGGGTGGAGACGCATGGCATTTCAGGCTATTAATATTTTTTCAATCCAAAGAAATACGAAAGACTTTCATAACGTTGTTATTTAAACTAGTGCATATACGTTTTTAAGCATAAATCGAAGGGAGGAAGCTTTCAAGGACTCTTTTACTTTCTAGCCTAGGTGACAGGCGTTTGGCAGTAATGAAGGGGAAAGAGGGTGACCGTATTTCCTCTGTCCCTCGATTAATCGCCTCCCTCGAATAATCGCCCCCCCCCCCCCAAACCCCCTCCACCCCTCTCGCCATCTTCTCTTTCTTCTATCCCCTCCCTGTCAAGTTGAAGTGGAATCTGATCCAGTCATCAAAAAATGTTCAGTTTATTTGATGTGATAATTTTTCGATTTAATGGAATAATTAAACAAAATATTTAATGCACGACTTCCAGTGAGCAATATTTGAAATAATCGCGCCCCTCGTATAATCGCCTTTCTACGAATAATCGCGAAAAAAGAAATAATCGCCTCCGGCTATTATTCGAGGAAATACGGTATTCTCGAGAAACACTGTGACGAGGAGCGTTGTTTAACAACTCAAAGAGAACGGCTGCCTAGGAGATTGCAATCCCGGTCATAATTTGTTAAAACACTTCTGGAAAACATAACATCTACTTAGTCGTTTCAGGAATACACGTACTACTACCCTCCCCTTCCCGCAATGTTGGTTTCACGCGTTTTCTTGGGCATAAACGTCTTCGAAATCAACATTGAAGGGGAAGGGAAGGAACAATTAGCAAGCTTTTCAACAATAATGACCGGGAATGTAGCTTTTTCCTCTCTCCTCTCTACCATGTCCTTTCCTGTCCAGATATTCTCTCCTGCCTCTTGATCCAGTCCCCATACTTACTTACTATTTAATAAAAATTTCAGGAGGTTGGCTTCTTGTTCTCAACATCGTGATTAAGGACCAGTATAACCTCCCTCAGTTGTTATCCGAGACGTCATACCGCAAAGTGGACAGCTACAAAAGCAACAATTTAGTTCTACAGAACAGCGCCCTGAATAACCTGAAAACCCTCATGCCCTTCACTCAAATGCGGTTCCACTGCAGAAAGCCAGGTGGATCAACATTTCATATAGTCACGACCGGAAATGGTACTGGTGAAGCTGTTGTTCAGTACTTTACAGGGCAAACAAACACCATGCCAGACTCCTGTGGATCGTACATTAAACTGTGGGATGACAGTTCAAAGCTTGCAAACCTATGTGCCGACTGGGGGTATGAGAACGGCAATTACCATGTGGGTAAATGGGGGCATGAAGGCATGAGGGAATTGTATGATCACCCTGCATTTACTGAAAGGGCATATCATTGGCTCACTTTTACTAGATGGGAATGTGATGACTTTAAACAGAGTCCATATCTACCACCTAATGAAACCTTTTGGAAGATTTTTGTACGTTAAAAGCATCAGTTAATAGAGTGGAATGGTTATGAAGCCCGGTAGACTGCTCTGTTATATGTTGTTGTGTTGACTTCAAACCACCATAGTTAGTAGAGGAGGCTGTGAAAGCCGGCAAACATCAAAGATGTAAAACAACTGTGCTGTAGTTTATGTTGGAAGCTCCCTGACCACGCACAATCCTTTTGTTCACAAATTGTAAATGAATAAATTAATGCGATGTTTCTATTGGTCAATAAGTTCAAAATGATAGAAATGATTGAAAGTTGTGTACTGTCGGGTCCAAAAAAGCTAAAAAACATATAACAAAGGAGTCTAACGGGTTTCATAACCATTCCACTATGATAACTATTAAACAGCAATATCCTCGTTACATAACCCCTTTAACTGTGCACAAATTTTTATTTCAGTCCTATCCTATATTTTCCGTGACAGTTTATAAAACAAACAAACAAACAAAGGATTGTGCACCGTCAGGGAACTCCAGAAAAAACTGACAAAAAAAACAAAAACATCAACTAAAGCACCTTTGCTTTGACTCCGCTGTGATGTTTGCTGCCTTTCTTAAGCAGTCTCTTCGAATAACTATGTTATTAATGTTACTGAATGAAACGAAGTCACTCCTTCTGTGAACTGCTATTTTGGATCATGTGTGACATCAAAATTATTTCTTTCTATTATTTTCCCGACTGCATGATCAAACATTGTATCAGTGTCATGCAAGACAGCATGAGGTGGCTAAATGATCAAACATTTGTTCGTGATGTAAAATTTTGAATGAAAATATTTGATCTAGATCAAATGTCGAAAGCAATTCTACCCAGACATATCTCTGTGGAGATACGCAAAGGCAGCAAAGAAAGGCGGAAAGGAGAAAACGGACTTCGTCTCTCATTTTTGTCCTTCTCATGTTCCCTTGCGTTTCGTCACCAGTCATTCACTTTGTGTCCCTCGCGTTTCGCGCTCGCCTCTGTGCGAAAAACGAAGCGTCTGAGGAGAAGGCAACGGTTAAACGGTAAAGTGCACTCTTCCAAAGCGATGATGGACGAACATGTTTGATCGTTTAGCCTTGGCTTGACGACGGAAAGCACGAGTGGCTGGAATTTGTTCAGGCGTTGTTGCCAATTTACATTGCTCTCCTACTCTTGATTCATGAAAATTAGAAACTTTCCGGCGGCTTCACCGCGAGAACCCTGGGAATGAGATCGCAGTGACTCGAGCTTTCCATCATTTGACGGATGACGTCTTGCATGATCCACAGCTCATGCCGCAAGACGCAAAATTTTCACAATTTTTGGAGAAGAAAGTCGGTATTATGATCATATGGTCCTTGAAGGTTTTTAGAACCTGCGTATTTTGATTTTTGATTATTATGTCTTTTCTGGAACGACCTTGTAAGCAGGATAGGTTTATTTGTTGTTGCGTTCTTATGGCATTTATTATAAATGCAATGATTTTTTAACTTGACTTTTGGAACTTTCATGGAAAGGTAAATGTAATATTTAAATATATCAATATTGGGCCGGCTATACGTATTTCACGTCGGTTGAGGTAATAGACTACACAAATCTATTAAATAGCAACCACTTCTCCTGGTTTGGGAAATTAAAAACTAAAAGAAAACAAAAAAAAACGAACAGTTTTTCTTAATTTGGGCTCGATACTCAGCAATGCTAAATGGGAGCAAGATAACTTTTTATGGCTAAGAAGTATATAAATTTGGGAATTAAATATTTTGCTTCGTTAACAGTATATAGGAAAACTTATCATCGTGGAAGCAATTTCTTTCTACACCTCAATATTATTTATAGGTCCAAAGTCTATGCAGAAGGATTATGGCTGTTATGAGCACCAGGTCTAGGAACAGGAAATGAATTTGCCGATAGCAGAATTTTGTAATGGCGACTGTTGAATTATGTTCTCTCTTGACAAAAGTGAATAAACTTTTACGGAACTCTACGAGAACCAACTTACGATCATTTTCAAGCCTTTAATTGATCTAAAAATAAATTTGGTGAAATTTACAAATAACTAATGTTAATATCAGCAGGACTGCTTTTAGCCAATAAGATTAAAGAATTTTATATCCATTCTATTGTTGATATATTAAATTCTGCAAGCAGAATACTGCAATGCTGATCGTACTACGTGATGTCTTGCAGAGTTAATTTTCACGTAGTACGATCAGCATTGCAGTATTCTACTTGCAGAATTTAATATGTCTACTTTTCACTTTTGTTGATCAGGTCTTTATAGATCCTACGTTCTTCGGCATATTCGTTTGCGGTCCTTTGCAGTCCTTTGTGGTTAATGTTTGTACTCTATTGTTGATAGTTTATTTCAAGCGTTTTAATGTTTGTAAATAAAGTTAACAAGTGTTAAATAGCAGCAACAACATAAGCGTTTCAGTCTATGGAGACAAGGAATATTAAAGATGACACTACATCGACAGAATTTTTGCGATTATTCGAAGCATCTCAATTTGTTAAAAGTAGGTGAATTCCGGCGAATCAAGAGGAAGTAATGTCAGACGGTCTGAATGGGGGGGGTCCACTTGTTGGTTGTCGGTTAAAATTCAGTAATTTTGTCGGTAGTCGGTTAAAATTTTCGATCTTTGTCGGTAGTCGGTTAAACTTTTCGATTTTCGTCGGTTGTCGGAAAATCTCAGTTAATAAGTAAAAACGCTTGTAAATTATTAATATTTTTTATGTATTTCACCCACTTTTCAAGACTTTGATCCCTAAGGAAAGAGTAAAACTTGCAAGAATGCATCATTTGATTGCGCCTAAACCGTTCATTAACTCTTTTATGCAACATGATCGTTTATTTCATTATTGTTTGCCATTAAATGAATAATTAGTACTGATAAAATCACTCAAGCTTTTATTGTAAATGCGAACTTGGTTTCCCTGTCGACTGCAGGGCACAGTAAAAAGTAATTAATTAATTAATTACTGGACTCTAGCCTTTTGGATACTTAAATTATTTTTATTGAAACACTGCAAGGGATGACAGGCTGCACATCTATCCCTCTCATGTTTTGGTTCTAACAAGCATGTCCTTTGCCATAATTTTCCTTTCTCAAAGAAATAGCACTTTAGGTGGTTCTTTAAAATTTTGGCAAGTTAGTGGTTGGTTTTGTATGAGTAGTAAAGGGGGCCACTACGGGCTCGACCAATCAGAAAGCCGGATATAGGTCACGTGGTACAAATGGACCAATCAGCGTGCAGCAAGAGGTCATGTGACCTGTCAATCATAATTAGTGATTTAATTGTCCATTTAAACACGCTAATGAGCTGTCAATCACTCATTAGTGAATGAGTGACGTCATAGGGGTGATGACGTGTTGTAAAAGGGTGTCACGTTATAGTGTGGCCCCTGTAACCCTAACCCTAGAGCCCTGTTACCCTCACTCTAACCCTAAGGGCTCTTATATTGGAAGACGAAGGTGAAGTCTCGTCCATGTGGGAACCCTAAGAGAGAATTCGCGAGGGCGCATGCGCATTCAAGAAAGTGGTGTTTTTGGGGGGTCAACGGCGTTCCCCTGGGTCCTGACCCTAACCCTAGGGTGGGGCAAGGTCGAGGTCCCCCCGGACAGTCACGTGGGTATTCCCTAGGGAATTCAAAAAAAGGAAAAAAAAAAATAAACACATTTTTTTGCACAGTGTTCAAACTCGGGTTTATTGCACTTGAACCCTAACGTGTTACAAGCGGGAACGTGTGCCCGACCCTAGTGGTGTGGGGCGTCCCTAGTGGAGTCTGATCTTCAGACGATGGTACAGGCGGGCACGTCGACCCGAACTCGTGGGTGGTGGTGGTGGTGGTGGGGTCAGAGCGTTCACAGGTGACTTCGGAACACGGCTTGGATGTGGAGGAGTCCCTTTTCTTGGTTCTCGATGCTGTAGAGGATGTCTTGGTAGTGGGCGTGGGTACTGGGATGGTCTTCGGGTGACTGTTCGAACAAGTACCGTACAGTATCTCTGAGGCCTTCCAGGTTTTCCCGGCACGTCTCTAGATTTTGGACACAGGTGGTGTAGGCGAATTCGCACGATCGTCGCTGCTTGTCCGCCACGTGGGGGTCGATCAACTGGCGCCTCACTTGCTGGCACATGCGGTTCAGACGGCATTCGTAGCCCCAGTCTAGGTCCATGGAAATGTTTTCTCTCAGCTCCCATAACGTGTCCAAGTACTCGTCCAGGTAGTCTCGATTGAAGGCCATGGGTGCCATGATCGGGAACTTGGGTGTGCAGCACGAGAGCGACCCACACGAAGGTCAACGAGACTACGGTGATGGGTGCGATCAACAGCATGGTCAGCATCGAGGTGCAGCGTCGATGGGAGGGTCTCTTATATGGCCCTCTCAGAGGGGGCGCCAAGCCCCTCTGGGAAGGGTCTCTAAGGAGGGGGGGATACCCCCCCATCCCCCCTCTTTTTCGAGGGGTCGAACGGGGAGGATGGGAAGGCACGTGACCCAGCGTATAAGAGGTGGGACCGGTTCCGACTCAGGTTGTCTGCAGTGGGTCTTTGAACAAAGATGGCGGACTCTTTGCCGTTTGGTATTCCTGGTTTTCCTGTGGTTCCTGTACCCGACGATGTTCCTGTACCCGACGATTTACCGGTCTTACCCGACGAGATTTACGAAATCATCGCGAGACTGTATCGATTAGCGACGGTGGAGGATCGCGATGCGAGTGGGTGGTGGCAAGTGCGCCAGGAGATGTGTTATTTTCCCCGGTGCCCCAAACGCAAGCGCCTCATCAGCCTCAAGGGGTTTTCTGTACCTCGCCATGGCAACCTGTTGCGGCCCGTGACGGGGTATTTTTACCGGCGCCTGATGCGCACGATGTTCGGCCGCTATGGTGACGCCCGGTTCTATCGCTGGTTCAGGGCTACCTTTGGCGAGGACGACCACATCCGGCCCGACCAGGCAGTCGAGTGGCCTTTTGTGTACTGTCACTATTGCGGGGAGGGCCACGAGTGTGGGGACGAAGAAGAAGAGGAAG